GACGATATCTAGATAAATAGAGATATTTAATGTCTTAATAAGACTTTTATTTAAGAAATAATACACGGAGAGTCATCTATATATTATTTCCAGCATCACACAAAACCTACGCAACAAATTCGATGCAATTTTCATACTTGTGTTTCTGAAGTTCTAACTTAAAATATGATGTATGTTTCATCTTGACATGTCTAAGGATAAACAACATAGAAGACCAAAGAGAGACTTTGTACTTAAATCGATTCCTTAGGTACCTTTGTCCCATTCGTGTTTCAACTGTAAAGCAGTTGTGTTTGCATGGCTGTGTTTCGGTTTGAAGGGTGGGATATGGCGTGAATTTACTGGGTACAGAGGAATAACACCTGAGTCCTCAGGAATGGCAACGCATGGGGGTTTTAGTATTTGAGAAATCCACGTACAGTAGTAAGAGAAAAGGCTAGTTTGTACATAAAAATAATAATGATAATTTTCCACTCCACAAAACCAGACTGCCAACGCATTATAATTGCTGGCATCAAAGGTACCTCACTCATAACTAGGTGGCATTTGCATTGTTTTGAATCGTCTTCTCATGTTCTTAAATTAAAATGACAGAGAGAGCACGATGACAATGCTACGATATTATCACTAGTCTTATTTTATCTTTTTTTATTACATTTTTTCACCTGTTTATTTCACATTCGCGCCAAAACAAGCACGGTTGACATTTTTTTTTTCTAAATGAATTTTCTCGAGGCTTTGACATCTCACATTGAATGTTTCTGACATCTGCACATTTATAACTCTAGCGTGATGTGAACTAATAAACAGTTAATTATGTGTTATTGAGACGTATAAATCAACTTCAAATTAGCTGTTATGGCTAAAATATTTTCATTATAATTCTATTCATTGAGTTATGGCGGTGAAATTACAGAGTACAGAGGCATAATAAAACCGTAGGTCTCAGGAATGCTACATATGGATTAACGTATGAGGTGCGGGGTAGTATTATGAAAGTTGCAATGTGTTTCATGATATCCACAGTCCTATCAATATTTATAGGGGACGGTTACCACTTTCCATCAATTGAACCTATAGGTTCTATAGGTTCTTTTCATTCTAAATTGTGCATATACTGTGACGGCCATAGTATGGCTTGTACATTATTATTCTTTGTCTACAGTGTTTTTTTTTTATGGATGATAATGGAATGGTAACCCCGCCTGCGTTAACGGTATACGCTGGAGAGGTACCAGTGAGGGTTGATAAATGAGAATGAAAAGGTCTGTTAGGTCAATGTAATGAATACACTTGGAATTCAGCACGATGGTTTCCAGGGGGGACCTCGTGGAGGTTGACCTGACAGGGTATATTGCTAGCAATGGGACTAGTAGTCCGCATTTCTAAGAATCCCTTCCCACCAGCACTACGGTATTACGCCTCCGAACCCTGTAACTTCACTGCCATATCCCACTCTTTAAACCGATACATAGCCATGCAAGTACAACTGCTTAGCGGCAGAAACACGAGTGAGACAGTGGTAGAAAAACGACTTTCATACAAAGACCACCTTCAATAAGGTTGTTAAAACATAAACGGAAATGGAGTATTCAATTTTTTAAACTATTTATAATAACTGTTGGCGCATATCAAACACCTCGGATGAAGATCGTACGCATCAGTAAGAAGAAAGCGCATTCCTGCGCCGGCGCAAACGAGATCTCCAATACTATGACGCTACCGTACATCATGGCGGTATACAATGCTGTTATGTTCAATTACTTATTGGAATCGTTGAAAGAAATTATGTGTCTGTTGTTTCTAATTGAGCTTGTTCATAAAACATCTCGTGTTTGAAGTAAAATTATAATACAATTTTGTTGTCTCTAAGCAATAGTCTAAAGAGTACATTAAGGTATATATATATTTTTTTATTATTTCATTTGATAAATATTTAAAAGTAAAAAATTAGGCACAAGAAGTACGCAATTGATGTTTACTTTCATTATCATATCGGTCTTTAACCGTCAAAATCAAATGTTCTGTTCCTTTCTAAATTCGCTTGAGTTAGGTGTTTTTATTGCTACTGTCGTTTCCCCGTTTTGTTCTTGGCAAAATACCCTAATATCGGGGTGAACGCCACCAAAGAGAGAAAAAAAAATGTTCTATCACATTTGAAGTCGGGTATTTTATGGGCACAATCTTTAATTATAATATTATACTTCGTTATAATGATGGCCCAGTTTACATTTTTACAGTCATCAAGTCAAAATTACATACAGAGATAACTAAATTATTAGTAATGGGGTCTAACTAAAAACCAGAGAGAGACTTTGTACAAAAGTCGATTGCTTGGACACCTCTGTCTCATTTGCGTTTCAACCGTGAAGCAGTTGTGTTTGCATGGCTGTGTATCGGTTTGAAGGGTGGGATATGGCGTGAATTTACTGGGTACAGAGGAATAACACCTGAGTCCTCAGGAATAGCAACGCATGGGGAGTATCATGTGCGAAACAGAATACTCTGTTATGTCCATGGTACTGCTCATGTCTATAGGCGACGGTTACCACTTTCTATCAGATGGGGCGTCAGGTTGTTTGCCATTCTAAGTTGTATAAAAAAAAACCACTGCTATCAATACATCCTATCAGATCGACCTCCACATGGATCCCCCTGGAAACCATCGTGGTTAATTCTAATAGTATTTGTCACGATGGGCTAACTGACCTGCTTTCATAGTCACCTACCATCCCTCACTGGGGTCCTGCCAGCGTATATCGATAGTGCGGACAGAGTTAGCATTCCATTATCACTAATTAAAAAAAATACTAAATTATTAGAGTCTACTATTCTTGCGGAACCCTAAAATGCATCCAAACCACCATATAATACAAATTCCATTAAAAAAGATGCAATATACATCTCTATTACTTGCATTATAATCAAACTTAATATTTTCACTTATTGACGAAACCTCAACACTTGTTTGCGAAATACGTCATTTGCTTGTGTCTGTCTGCTTCATAAATAGCCATTTCCCTTTTAATTCATACTTCTCTTACGTAAGTGTCGAAAGGAATTAACGCAATTGTATTTTATTATTGAAAAGTGCTTCCCGTTATATGAAGTAACAAAAGAGTCGGTACCTCTTAACTTTCAACTTAAAGTCGATTAAGTAACTTATCTTCGGTTAGAAACTTAGGGTTATTATGAAATGACATATTACTTCCATTAGTTTTGTATATATTAACTTTAAAGTTAGCACTTAAGTTATATGGTAATCGGTAAACTATGGCATTTAATTTATTTCATATTGGCACATTCCCATTTGATTAACAAATCTTTAATCACCAGAGGGAGACTTTGTACAAAAGTCGATTGCTTGGGTACCTCTGTCCTATTCGTGTTTCAACCGTGAAGCAGTTGTGTTTGCATGGCTGTGTTTCGGTTTGAAGGGTGGGATATTGCGTGAATTTACTGGGTACAGAGGAATAACACCTGATTCCTCAGGAATGGCAATGCATGGGGGGTATCATGGGCGAAACAGTATACTCTGTTATGTCCATGGTACTGCTCATGTCTATAGACGACGGTTACCACTTTCCATCAGGTGGGCCGTCAGCTTGTTTGCCATTCTAAGTTGTATAAAAAAAAAAAAGTATTTACATTCGCTTTAATTCATGAAAATATCAAATGTATTATAAATCTATTTTAGGTATTGAAGTGTCTTTTTCTTTTATGCTACATTCCCAATTTGAAAGACAGAGACAAAACAGTTCAATGGCTAATATAGATTTTAGTCTTTATGAATAAAAGGGTTTAATAATACTACTAGTAAAGTATATAGGGAGTCACTGGATGATGGTGGCTCAGGACCGTTCCTTATGGCAGTCTATGGGAAAGAACTATGTATAGCAGTAGACAAATAATGACTTTTTTATGCTACTTAGAATGGCAAACAAGCTGACGGCCCACCTGATGGACAGCGGTTACCATCACCTATAGACATGAGCAGTACCGTGGACATAACAGAGTATACTGTTTCGCCCATGATACCCCTCATGCGTTGCCATTCCTGAGGACTCGGGTGTTATTCCTCTGTACTCTGTAAATTCACTGCCATATCGCATCCTTCAAATCGGAACACAGCCATGCAAACACAACTGCTTCACGGTTGAAATACGAATAGGACAGAGGTTCTCAAGCAAACGACTTTTGTACAAAGTCTCCCTCTGGTAATGGACTGGGATGATGGCGATGATAGTATTATATTATCTGTGCTAGTACTTATATCTATGTTGATGCTCAATATTCATCACTTTCCACCAAAATCTGATGAACCAAGAAGACTTATGATTGTTATTGTATTCCCTTGTCTCTTTCTGTTACGCGAGGTTGGCTTTCGTAATCATACAGCCATATGTCTTTCACTAATCATCATCTTCCTACCCTTATCCCAATCATTTGGGGTCAGCATAATATGATTTTACCATATTACAAAAAGATTTGGTTTTTAGTTTTACGACCGGCCACCTGCCTGACGTCAACCCTCTTTTATTTCTTTCACTAATATGCATCACTATTCATTAGACTGAACTCTTTTATATCCTGGAGATTTGACATCCAGATGGTTTTATAATATTATGAATAATACGCATTGGTTATATGTATTTTAGTCAGCTGTATTAAAAAAATCAATTGCTCATTACAATTTTTATCTGATAATTACTTTTGTAATCGATGGTTATTTTTTTTTATTTTTTTATATATTTTTATCTATTGTATTGTAAAATCTCTATTGTACATAATTTACATTGGACACATTATTAAATCGTTTTTTAATATACAATAGCGGACTTGTCATAGGATAACTATTACAGTCAATCTTTGAGAAGCTGAAAGAAACTAATGAATGTTTAAGGATAAACATCATACCGCTAGTTATTTATTGTTCATTTTTTTAATTGTTAAAATAGTTAAATGTAAAAACTCTTATGAGTCTTTTTCCCTTGTTACAGTCAGAAAATGAGTACGATAGAAGAAGACAAGTATCACTGGGCCATCCAGGTTTCAGTGAACATCAAACGAGATTTGGCTTGAATTCGCCGCTGCAGAACTTCCAGTCGCAAGGCTCTCTACTCAGCAGCCCATCACCGAGTCCACTTCAGTTCCCTCAACCGATCTTCTCACAGCCCCAACCGCAGCCATCATTCGTGCCTCCACAATTCAACAATATTCTGCCCAATCCTGCCATTCCGACAAATGTTGGCATCCAAAATAATCTGCCCTTACCGAATAATAACGCGTTCCAATTCTCTCAACCACCAGTCAATCCACCTACTCTTCAGAACAACTTCCCTCCGTCGAATTTGAGACCACTACAGCAAAACCAAAATGTACTTCCGCAACCAGCTCCTACTTTGCCTACTTTCCAAAATAACGGGCCTCCCATTGCCCAAAATGCACCTTCTTTCAATCACAATGCTCCTAGTAATACAGTAAATATACAGCCAAGACCAACGCAGCCAGCTTTTCTACCAACAGTTCCAGAATCACAAAACCAGCCAATTTTCAATCACCCGAATCCTATAACTATTCAACCTGCACCTAATCTAGCCCCACAAAACTTAAATTTAAACAATGCACAAATCCCTTTCCAATCTAATTTAGGTCAAGCGCCGCTCTTCTCAAATGGACAGTCATCTCAAATACAAAATTTCTTTGAGCAACAGTCTAAAGAAAACCTTGAGAAACTAAAAGAGCTTCAAGAGAGACAAAGAATAATTCAAAAGCATCAGGAATTTGTACAAAAACAGCAACAGAAACAGCAAGAGAAAGTAGAGAAATTACATGAAGAGTTCTTAAGTAAACAAGCAACAAAAACTATACCAACTGTTTCAACGACAGAAAACTATCAGAATTTCTACACCCGTAGCCAAGATAAACATCGACCAATCTTACCTCATGAGACAGATTTATTTAGAAAAGCTTTGGAAATTTATGAAAAGGAGCATCCAACAACTACAACTACCACTACTACAACGACCACCACGACTACACCCGCACCGACACCTAGGTACAAACCTAGACAGAAGCCAAAGCCCAGAAATCCTCCACAAGATAGAAAAAAGCAACAACTCTACAATGAAATTAAGAATTTACTTGAAGAAAGCGAGACAAAAGGTTTTGATGATAGTTTAAGAGCAAAAAGTGTAGCTCTTTTACAGAAACCAGACATTCTCAAACAGTTAAAAGTAGCATTAGCAGAGAATCCCGAAGACTTTAACGAAAAGAACTTTACGTCACGGGAAATCTCTTTAAATGGTCAAAAATTTGAAGTGATTAGAACCACTAATCCTAATTTGATTCCAAAAGGAGCAATAACTGCAGACAGCCCAGCTAACTTGGCACAAATTGTAGCTAATACCCAAGCACCACAGAAAGAAAGTCGTATTTCTTTCGAAGATTTGACAAAAGGTGTATTGCCTCCTGGAGCAAACTTTGAGCTCATTAAACAATCCGATAATGGCAAACTTGAGGAAGTCTCCAAAATACCCAACACACTTCAAAATAAAAAGAAAGTTACATTTGTTTTCTTAGAAGAGCAAGACGATGGCTCTTTTAAAGTTAAAGGCGTTAAAGCTAATGGTCAACAAACAGAAGAAGGACCCGAAGTGGAAAATATTCTAAATAAAATAAAGAAAGGTGAAATACAGTTGCCTGGAAAACTATCAAATAGTATTTTAACTTCCACTACAGCTAATCCTACGACAGAAGCGAATGACTATGTAGCTGAACCATCTCATCTTCCTTCGAGTTACTCTAGTTTTATCACAACATCTAGCCACGGAACAATAGGTCATAATCTTGTATCACATACAACGCCAACTCCGAACACTTATCGAAGTAGTGTAAGCCAATCTACGAGACCCACTCAACCTCAAACACAGACATTCGCACCATCGACTCGAACAGTATCTACGACTGAAAGATATATCGCCAAATCGACTTCTCCTACCTACGATTTTACAGCGAATAGAAATAGTCACAGTTCATCATCACTTTCTACACCCTCATCTTCCTTCCCGAGCTCAACGTTTTCGAGTATCATCAGTACAACGCCGGCTTATCGACATAATACTCCAGAAGACCTTGTGGTAATAGGATCCAGTGTGGTTCCACCAACAGTGGAAATAACCAACGCACCTTTGAACTACGGAAGGCAAATCAATCCTGGACTTGTCGAAATCTTAAAAGAGAACGGCTTATTTGCGACTGCTAAATACTTGCGTCAATCTGGATTAGACACGATTCTGAACGAGACTGGGCCGTATACGATTTTTGCACCGACCGATAAAGCGTTCAGAACGTTATTGGTCCAACTTGGCGGTCCCGATAGAGCCGAAGAGAAATTCCGTGATAATCCACGTCTGCTCAGTGGCGTAAGTAAATTAATCTAAAATTTATAACAACAAAATTACATCTGTCTGTAACAAACTAAATAAACCTACAGTTTTCAAGTTCAATTATTAAAATTTAAAGTAATATTGCCCCTTTTTTTTTTGTTTATTTTGCTCATAGTCCAATAAATTTCATACCCCCGCTCATTTAATTTTAGTTTTCATATTTCAAATACACCAATGAAGCACTAAATAGCACAACGTGTTACGAAAATTAATGACCTATGAATAAAAGCTAAATAAAAAATAATCAGCATCTCATATTCCTTTTAGCTGCTCCTCCATCACGTGATTCCCGGTGCGTTCGATATCGCATCCCTACAAGACGAGATGACTGGGGTATCTCTGGCAGGAACCCAACTGCGTGTCAACCAGTACGATATGCATGACGTGGAGTGGAATGAGGTGCGAGTGACCACAATCAACGGTGCCAGGGTCTTGGAAGACAAGAAAGACATTCACATACCGCAGGTATACTATTTTGAACTCGAATTTTCTTTTCCAATCTAGGTACTATGCAAGTTTAATTTCATAACTGCAGTAGTTTAGGCTCAATTATTTATATATATATATATATTTTTTTACTGAAAGCTAATTGAATCGTAACCCTTCTATATAGAAACTGTTGGTTTACGCTGATCGGGGTAAGTCATGATAAGAGAGGATGAAATCAAATCAGCTGACCCATTGTACCGATATCAAGTAAATTTCATCTTGATAGTCTTCAAGATTGATGACGTAAATCTTGACCTGATAGAATATAATAACAATCAATGGAGTCACTAGCTTCCGTTACTAACAATCCTCTCTCTCTCTCTAATATTTAGATCTCATCAGCTGGCAACATTATAAGGAAGTAATAAATTTATATACTTCTTTGGTCTAAGTGAAGACCATACATACATAGATGTATCAATTTTTTAATGTTTACTATTCCAGGGCATAGCTCACGCAGTAGACCGGGTGATGTTCCCGCTGCCAGTCGGCGATCTCGTGCAGACACTGCAGGCAGACAGAGATAGGAGGTTCACAACGTTCCTGAAGGCAATACACGCGAGTGGATTCGCTGACACGCTTGCAGGTACATCAAATTTTTTAATAAATTTTATATAGAAAAAAATACTTTTAGATAATAGAAGTTATGTATATTTAGTTAGATTCTACGGTTTTTTTTAATGGATGACAATGACCCCGCTTGCGCTAACGGTATACACTGGCGGGGCACCAGTGAGGAATAATAGGTGAGATGAAAAGTTAAGTCAGTTAGCCCACTGTGAAGAAAACGCCAGGAATTCAGCACGATGGTTTCCAGGGGAACCACGTGGAGCCTCAACCTAACAGAATAAATAGCTAACTATGGAACTGGTAGTCTGCATTACTAACAATTCCTTCCCCCCAGATTCTATGGATAGGTTAGGTATTTATAATTTTTAGCGATTTTAGAGACTTTCTTAACAGATCAGTGCTAACCGTCACTGCCTTCATGTAAATTAAGACTTGCTAGTTCTTAACTTAAAAATTTATACCGATTTCAAGTTTGAATTGAAAAGAAGGGATTGTTAATAATCGAAACTATCAGTTTCATTGCTAGCAATATACAACACCTCATATTTACCGCCAATCGTGTTCTCCTGGAGATCATCATGATTAATTCCTGATGAATTCGTCACGATGAGCCGACTTTATCTTCAGATATTCTTTTAATGGGTGATAATGGAATGGTAACCTCGCCTACGCTAACGGTATAATGCTAATGGGGTACCAGTGAGGGATGATAGGTGAGGATGAAAGCAAGTCAATTGACTCTTCTTGATAAATTTGTGAAGAAAGAACCACGACAGTTTCGACTTAATTGTCATGTAAATTGACCGAAGAGGTTATATTGCAAGCAATGAGGCTGTTAAACCCCATTACTAACAATTCCTTTCTCCCCTATTCTCGTTTATTATCCCTTACTGGTACCTACCACACCATCAGAAAACACTGACTCAGACGCAGTTACCATTCCATAAAAAATATCAACTTTAAAGTTTATAATTGTCCCTTTATAAATGCATTTTTTTTTTGTACATTACAGAAAGCAAAACCTACACAATTTTCGCGCCAACGGACGCGGCGTTCGCGCGCCTACAACCGACCGAACTGTCACGGTACTCAGAGAAAGCGGCAGCGCGCGCACTCGTTGCTAGACATGTTCTGCCAGGCACGTTGTACAGTGCCGGCATGAGGTATTACCAACTGAGGAACTCCATGGAGGATGCCAAGCCGCTGACGTTGCAGAAGAACGCCGGTGAGTTCATGGTTACGTAAACGAAGTATATATATATACAATACTATCGATATATATATATACGAATTTGTAAATATATCTTTTCGGATAAAAAAAGAACTTTCCAAATCGGTTAAGATCGTTGCCTGGTTCCTTATACATAGAGTATCCTAATTTTAGAACCCGACCATTAGTCCGACTGTTTGATAAAAAAATAAATAAAACAAATCTTTAGAGACAAAATCTTTATTTCGCAGGTCGCATCAAAGTGAACAATGCACAAGTGATAACCCACAACATACCTGCAACAAACGGCGTCATCCACGCCATAGACAATATCCTGTGAAGTGCGCCCGCGCATCCACTCCCGCCAAATTAGCTTCAGTGAAGCTTTCAATTGTCTATTCTTCGAAATTATATTCTTATAACTTTTGTAAACAGAATTTGCAATGAGCGACGCTTTAATTTTATTTTTTAAAAATATAATAAGATTGTAAATATAAATTTTAGACTAAGAAATTAATTTATATACATGTTAATGTTTTTGTAAATAAATCTAATAATATTATTATACATTTGTTTTCTTTTTGAATATTCACCAATAATTAAAAAACTACCGCCGCTATTAAAATTGTTTATAGTACCTAAATCGCCCGCAAAATTTGTCCCGTAAAAAAATAGGAATAAACAAAAAAAAAAGAAGGAACAGAATAAGTGGTTTGACTTTGAAATATAAACAAGCAGACATGGATGACTGGCTGTATGGATTTTGCTCTTCGCCTGTCCATTTTGGACGAATTTTAAAAATACAACAACAGACATTCGTGTCTCTACCGTGAAGCAGTTGTTTGCATGGCTGTTTCGGTTTGAAGGGTGGGATGGATATGGTGTGAATTTACTGGGTACAGAGGAATAACACCCGAGTCCTCAGGAATGGCAACGCATGGGGAGTATCATGGACGAAACAGTATACTCTGTTATGTCCATGGTACTGCTCATGTCTATAGGCGACGGTTCCACTTTCCATTAGGTGGGCCGTCAGCTTGTTTGCCATTCTAAGTTGTTTAAAAAAAAAGAAATGGCTACTTTTAGATGGTAGATGAATATAGGCCATGACATGAGAGTATGGATGAATGGCAACAGAAAAAAAAACATTTATTCCTCAATTTAAAATTTATTAATAATCACACACACAACAATAAAGTTAAGTACACTTCTACACCATGGAGCGTCACGAACACACCATATCTCAGTGATTCTCAACCTTTTTTTTGTTGCGGCACATATTTAACGATTTCAAAATTTGGCGGCAAACAAAGAAAAAGATAAAAATTATTTACTTACTACAACACACTGCATAAATAGTTTATAACAAAAATTTTAAATATTGGCAAAATTTGGCGGCACACTTTTAAAATTTGGCGGCACACAAAAGTGACACAGTGGTTGAGAATCACTGCCATATCTATTCCAGTCTTAAAACTTATTAAATCGCTTACTTATAATGTATCCCGTGTAATATTTTCACCTGACTCGACTTCAGATTGCAAACTAGCAATCAATGCACGGTTATTTCGCGATCAATTGCTAATTGTCAAAAATAATCGTTTTACGTTACACGATTGTTTCCTTATTCTTTCTTATGACAATTAGAGCCACTAGCGTTCATGTCACAATAAAAAAAGACAAAATATCAATTTTTAATTATTAAGTCGCCAATAACAAGGAATTACATAGAAGGAATGATAAAATAAAAACTGTAAATCGTGTGGCCTCGTTTCTTCTTATGCAAATATAGTTAGTAAAAAGAGGACAAAAGATATACCATCAGTTGCTATTTTTCTCAATTCATAGCAGGCTAGTGTATAGAAAATTTTATAAGACCATATAATCCTACCAAATTTAGATACAGCCTGCTTGCATACTTTCTACATAAACTGTGTCGAATATATGATCTAGTAATGTAGAATTTGTTACTGACATAATTCTGATACCTTTAATCGGATAAATAAGAATGCTTATATATAATTATAAAATATTTGCGACACAGTTTTATATTTCTGCGGAAATCATCAGTTTTCAATAATATTGTATTAGGGGGGAAAGGATTGTTAGCAATGGAGTTTGACAGCCACATTGCTAGCAATATACCTTATTAGGTCGACCTTCACGTGGTTCCCCCTGGAAACCATCGTGAACAATTCTTTTTAAATTCGTCACGATGGGCTAACTGACCTGATTCATCCTCACCTATCATCCCTCACTGGTCCCCCGCCGGTGTATACCGATAGCGCGGGATAACCGTTACCATTCCATTATCATCCATTTAAAAAAAAATTTTATTAAATGTTTTTTTTTCCATATAAAGAATTATTATATTATAACTTAAAGATGTTTAATCTAATCTGCTTATGTTATCACTAACTCACAGTATTGTCTTGAATAGGCTGACAGTATTTTTGTCCAAAGTAAGGTAGAATAATGTAATTTTAGAATGATCTCACCGAGTTAGCGTTCGACAGATTGGATAATGTAAATTTTCTTTATTTGAGCTGTCTAAATGTTTAGTTAACAAAATTTAGCTCATGTGGGAATTCCTTCATACTACGCCGTGGAGTAATGTTATACAGTAAATAACTAAATCAAATTATTCCAATAATTTAGTCAAGTGACCAGTAATTTAGCAGCTCAACCAATGATGTAGTTAGGTAACAAAGGCCCTGACTGAGGCAAAAAATAAACCAGCCTAAGAATACAGGGGAGTTCCCCGCAAGTTTCAACAAAGATGTCTAAGACTTGTTGGGAATTCCCCTGTATTTTTTTTTCAAATGAGTTGCCATTATTAGAGTCCTGGAATTTGATTTATTTATATTCCGAAGTAAATTTACAGGATATAGAGGAATAACACTTGAGTCCTCAGGAATGGCGACGCATGGAGTTCATGGGCGAAACAGTATACTCTGTTATGCCCATGGTATTGTTCATGTCTATAGGCGACGGTTACCACTTTCTATCAGGTGGGCCGTCAACTTGTTTGCCACTCTAAGTTGCATAAAAAAAAGAACGCGCTGTGAGACTATTCGCTTCAGCGAATCAGAGTCTAAGGCTTATTAATTCATGTTATAACGCGTTCAATATCATTAAAATAAACATAGTGTAAATAAACAAAGTTTTTATTGTCTGTGGACTCTGTCTGATTGCCATTAAAAATAATTAAATTTAAAACATTCCGGTATTAAATATAATGACTAATTAATTCTTCTTTAATCTCATCTCAATCAGTAAACCTTAAACTGTACATTACCGCTAAGATTTAGAGTTCATTTTAGCCAGCATCATTCTTAAATGCGCTATTTCCTCGTCTTTAGCGGCCAACTCTTCTTTCAGCGACTTTATGGTGTCATCTTTGTTCTCTGATAAATGCTTGAGCTCTTCTAGCAGTTGGGGAGTATCTAGCCTCTTGCTGGGTCGCCTCTGGACCAGTTTGCCGATGATGTGAGCTATCTTCGGATAGTTGGCAGTGAGGTGTGCCGGTATTTGACCCTTGCGCAGGTCGGTGATGGTTTTCACTCGCTCCATGTCCGTACTAAAGGGTTCCACCATCTCGAGAAGTATTATTCCAAGGCTGTACATGTCACTCTGTAAAAAAAAAATTGAAATTTTGTTATTAATTTTCCAAAATGTCTCTCTGTAGTCAGCTACAGTGAAATTACTGGAGGGTTAACAACATAATGCTCACGAATTCACAAATGGGAACGCGTGAGGGAAACTATGGGTATAGTAATGTATTTTGCATTGTCTCTAATGACCAATAGACGCCGTTTATCACTTCCATCAGGTGAGCCGTAAGCTTCTTTACCATTCTAAGTTTTTAAAAAAAAAACCTACATTATATAACATATTACAATTACAATTTTAATCAATTAAGGTTATACTTATTTTTTGTTAATATCTTTACTCACTTGAAGATAGATAGATAGATGTATAATGGCGTGAATTTACTAGGAATAGAGGAATAACACCCGAGTCCTCAGGAATGGCAACGCATGGGGGTATCATGGGTGAAACAGTATACTCTGTTATGTCCATGGTACTGCACATGTCTATAGGCGACGATTACCACTTTCCATCAGGTGGGCCGTCAGCTTGTTTGCCATTCTAAGTTGTATAAAAAAAAAATATTTGCATTACTTACAGCACACAAATAACAAACATACACAGTAAATAGAGATAAAGAAATGCATAATACAAAAAAAAAAAGCAAAATATATAAAACAAGTAATAATAACTGAAGATTATTTTAATGTAAAATTTTAAGGACAAGTTTTAAATTAAACATTTTTACGCCATAAGGATGAATACCAAGATTCTGTTTTTAAATCAATAAAAACTTCTAATGTACGCGTATCCCTGTATACAAACAGATAGCCATTCATTCATTCAATATTTATCAATTAGTCAATGCTAAAATGTGAAACGAGTTTAAAAGCTTCTTTGAGAAATAAGTAGAATTATTTAATTGAAATTAAAATTAAGTTAATATTTATTTGTCAAAAACACTTTTAAATTGATGATTTGTACCAATTATACACTAGGCATGCAAAACTGTCGTGTAATTCAGAAATGCAATTAAGCCATGATGGTATATTAAGTGCTTGGCTGACAATTATGTCAGCTAATTCAGATTTGCAGTTGAAATATCATAATTAGAAATAGTTACATAAGGAAACTGTCTACATATACAAGCTACATAATGGCATATAATTTATATCCACTTTACCTTAGGATTACACTGGCCTTCCAGTTGTTCGGGGGCAGCATACAACTGCGTGCCTAGCGCCATCCCTCTATGAGACTGCTGCAATGGACACGCCAGACCAAAATCTCCCAGAAGCACTCTCAACTCAGTTGCGCTTTCTACCACGAAAATATTGCTAGGCTTAATGTCATGGTGAATAATCCCTCTGGAATGTATGTAATGCAATCCGCATACAAGCTGGGTGAACATCTCAATGAGCTTATCAATATGACTCCAAGAGGCTGGGTAACCAACGTCGGGGGATAACGGGGACTCCGAGTCGGAAAGGTACGAGAAATCTTCAGAATTCTTTCTCGAAAGTACCATTTGATTGTTGCGAAAATCCAACCACTGCTTCAGTGTTTGCGGGCAGAAAGTCATCTGGATGTACAACGTGGCCCATTTCAGGTTGACACGTGAGCAGTTTTCGAACTCCTTACTAGAATACAGTTTGCATACAGCATTCTCCTCGACTCCTGGATAATCGTCTTCACTGTCAGTGTCATCGATTTCGTCCGAAGAATTGTTGTTGTCCTCCAAACTGTTTGAATTCCTGAAAGATATAACAAAGTCCGAATAACTCTTCTTTGTTGTTAATTCTTTAGAGTTGTGAGTCTTGAACGACGATAAGGTCTTGGGATGGGCCGCCGACGACTTCGTTGGCATTACAGACAGTTCACTGTCACTGTCGGTGTCCATGCACAGCTTGTTTGCTTCCTTGATCGGCTGTATCAATGGCTCGAGCCATGCAGCTTTGTAATTCACGATATTGGGGTGATTGAGGCTGGCCAGTGTCTTAACTTCAGCTAAATGATTCATTATAGAGTTTACGTCGCAAGATTTTATATAGACCTTCTTCACAGCGTACTCTACTCCATCTAGCCTGTGCCTGGCCTTGAATACGCAACCAAAACCACCTCCCGCTATGAAGAATAACTCCTCAAACTCCCTGTGGTAACGAGACCACTCTAATGCCGACGGTTGCATGATTGGCCAAGAAGCAGGTATGCTTATCGGTATTTCTGATTCGTTTGTGACTGTCACCAGCTGATAGAGGGCCCTCTGGTACTGACTCCTCATGACCTCAAACTCTCCCATGGAATAGGAATTATCAATGAGATTCATGCTGTGCAATTTTTCACAGATAGTGTTATACAGCTGGTTGGCCCTCATTTGATCCTTCTCCAGTAGTGAACACAGCTGTTTAACCAGGGACTGCACCAAAAGGCTAATTGGTGTAGTGACAGTTGAGTTGAACACATCAATTTGTTGCCTGCTGTGATCGAATATGGAGTCATTGTGGCTGTTATATGAAACACCTGAAAAAATACATAATTTATAGATGTTATTTACTTTCGTCTGGTCTCACTCAACAAACATGATTGAATGTTATTTATTCAGGTTAATAGTAGCCGTAAACAAAACTATATATCTTAGAATTTTCTTAAATTTAAGAATTTATTTAGAATCTTTTTAAATTTATTTATTAAACTTTAATACACCTAGATATGGGTAAATGGCGCATTTAACACCATATGGCATTATCTACCAGTCGTTCGTAGACAGGAATAACAGAAAATATAATTGACAGTGCAACATAATGAATAATGTTGAATTCAAAAGTTATCCTACTGTTTGTTTGTTTATTTATTATTATTATTATTTTAATTTAGACTTTATTTAAACTGAGTTTAATTTAATTGCTTTCTATTTGTATAACTATTTTTTTATTTTGTTTTTGTTCCTTTTCTTCGTGTTTTGTGCGCTACTGTGTGGGTTACATGCTTCTTCAATTAAATTATTTCTTTCTTTCCATGTCATTTTCACCCATTAAAAAAAAGAAAACTGTATCCTTACATTTTTTAACTGGTCTACTTATTTCCTATTATATAATGCAAATAAAGTTTACTCATTCATTCATTTATTAAAATATATATAAATAAAATCTGTATTTTGTTAAGTCACATGCACTTAAGTTAAGTCACATACAACTGTATGCACATGACTTTTTGTATTTATATCTATATCAGTAAGAAAAACATCAAATATTTTAGATAACATTGTTTTGTTTATAATTTCAAAACCTAATTAAAAACAGATAGGCATTTAGTTAATAAATTTTATTTTATTGAAATAGGTATTTTTTTTTATGGGTGAAAATGGTATGGTAGCCCCGCCTGCGCTAACGGAATACGCTGGTGGAGCACCAGTGAAGGGTGATAGATGAAAATGAAAACAGGCCAGTTAGCCCATCATGATGAATTCATCAGGAATTAACCATGATACTTTCCAGGGGGAACTGCGAGGAGGTCGACCTGGTTTGGTATATTGCTAGCAATGGGATTCTTAGTGTCCATTACTAACAATCCCTTTCCCCCCTGAAATAGGTATTAACTACACTGAAGTACTGTTTCATCATAATTGTTTCAGCCGACAACTGTCCACTGTTGAACATAAGCCTTAAATTATGAGGGGAGATGCCACACTTGGCAAGAGGGTTGGTTATTTGAATAGAATGATTTATGACAGCAAGCAGATGGTGATCAATCTTCAGAGTGTTTGCAGTCACACAAATATTAATGATAGCGGAATTAAATGAAATAATTCTAATCAGATAACCAATGACAAATTATAAGCAAATTATGCCAATCAAAGTCAATTACATGCAATGAACATACATAAATAATTATAAAACCATGCAATTCTCCCTTAATAATTCTTACCATCTTTCCTTAATATTATAAATGTGAAAGTGAGTTTGTTTGTTACCTTTTAGCCAATCGTAACCAATTATGAAATTTAATATATACATACTATATGAAGAATCTAGTTTTCATTCCAGTCAGTAAACAATACAAACATACAGATCTTCTTTTTAAGATAAAGGTGTAAAAAAGCTAGTGCAAAATAAAATTAAACAAGAGAAGGATTTTTTTTTATTTATATATAGGTATTACAAACAGACTAAAAATATAATCTGTATCTTCAATAAGTGAAGTAACGTGTGGTTACTTGACTTCCTTGCAACATTAACAGTCTGCACTACCGATACAAAATAAATCTTACAGCACAGGGAATAAGAGTGAATGTAGTAAAATAATGTTGTGCTAGAAGTTTCTGCACACATGGCAACTGTGGTTTGGCTAACCACAAAACGTTAAGTTATTATAAAACAAAATTATATTTTCATACACTGTTTTGCTTTTGTATCAAATATAAAAAGAATTTAATTTTAAAATAAGTATATAGGTAGGTGGGATACAGCGTGAATTTACAGGGTACAGAGGAATGACAACTAAGTAAAAAAAAGAAAAATTATAATAGTGCATGTGGTGTTACACACAAGACTTTTACATTAGGCAAAATTATTTTTTGTGTTATTAAGTTGCATGTAAAATGTAAAAGTTATATGTGAACCTTATTAAATAAATAAATAAAAATAAGTCCTCAGGAATGGCAACGCATGGGGGGTATCATAGGCGAAACAGTATACTCTGTTATGTCCATGGTACTGCTTTTGTCTATAGGCGACGGTTACTACTTTCCATCAGGTGGGCTATCAGCTTGTTTGCCATTCTAAGTTGCATAAAAAAAAACTGATTGGGATATGATCACTGATTGAGATAAAAAATAGTCTATATCTTTCTCTATCCTTTATAGTATTTTTTTTTACAGATACACTGGCGGAGCACCAGTAAAGGGTATGTGTGAATGTGAATGTGAAAGGGACTCCATTTTCCGCACTTAGCCTCTCATTTGGGCGATTGAACCAGTAAAGGGTAATTGAAGAGAGAGATGAAAATTAAAACAGGCCAGTTAGCGCATCATGATAAATTCATCAAAATTAACCACGATGGGTTCCAGGGGGAACCGTGTGGAGTTTGACCTGGCTGGGTATATATACTAGCATTGGGATTCTCAGTCTCCATTACTAACAATCCCTTTCCCCCAGTGTATACCATTAAAGCAGGAGAGGTTACCATTCCATTATCATCCATTACAAAACTAACCTATCTGGGCACTTTTCTAATAGATGAAGATTTGCTCTGTGCTTAAGTGAATTAGTAAGTAGTATTGTCTGGTTATAATTATAATAGTAGATAACTTGTTTAGATTTTATGGGATTGACATGTTAAAAAACAAAAATCCCAAATTAAATGTAGATTAAAAAAAAAAAGAGGAAGATGGAATGGTGCACCCGCCTATACTAACGGTATACAATAACATTGGCATTGGCATTTCATTTTCACCCATTAAAAAAATCATACAAAGTATTTTAATGCAGCTCCCTCTGGTAAATGGTCCTATATAAGGGAGCTGATGTAAGGACATTGCATATTTATAATTAGCAAAGACAGATAATTATATGAAGCACTTGACAAAATTATGGTACTGGATTTTCTATGATAACCTGTAAATAAGGAAATCTATTATGTTGAATTTAAGAGGCGAATAAACTATTTATATACATGGAATAGAATAAACATTAAATCATTAATGAAACATTACCTAAATCAAAAGAAGTAACCGTCTCGAGAGCCTCCCATTTGTCCTTCTTCTGTTTCTCCATTGTGTCCTTTCTAATCTTGCTGACGACGATGTTGAAGCCAAGATCTCACTTCACTAAAGTCTATACAGACCATTTTCAAGCAAACACTATCGCGTATTTGCTATGTTTTAGAGAAGTAGGCATTGTTGAAAATACTATTTAGAAAATATAAATAAATAAAAATTATGAAATCAGTGACGATGATTGACCGTTGGTTCCAATAGTGTTGTGAATAGTAATCAATTAGTCGATTGAAATTATTCGATTAGGATCTTAAAAATGGTATAAAACATTCATTGTGTAATTAATTAAGAAAACAAAGAAAATATAAGATTATATATACATTCTCATATTTTAATTACATATATCTTTCATGTATTCTATAATTTATTGTTTACCTAAAACTACAGGTTGCTTTATAATGTTTTTGTTCTAAATTTGATTACTAGGTATTCTGTTTCATATAATTTGTTTCACTTATATATTACAACATATTTTAATATAATAATTATCCGTTTAATTTACGTGCAATTAGATCGAGTAAGCTTATTTAGTTTTGTGATCAATTCGTATTCCTTAGTCATGACTGACTGCCGTAGTATACGTACAATGCTTACAGTGTTGCCCTTTAACTCGACTTTCTTATTGACTATTGATAAAACGCGGAGAACAAACTTACAAACGCTAAGCGGGCCGAGATACGCAATCAGATTCACACACACATCACAATCGTTCATGAATAAGAATCCCAAATTGACCACAAAACTAGTTGAGCTTTCTCGGTGTAATTACTCATTAGTTAAATCGGTAGTTATTACATTAAAATATAATGTGTGCTTACGAAACTTTTAATCATGAAATAACAACACATGGGAAAGGAGATTGACTCCTGAAACGTAGGTTTTCATACAGGCCTAGGAAATTAAAGACTTTATATTTATTTGTGTCACTAAGTGAAAATAGGGGTGACTATTGCTATGAACATCAAAATCAAAGAAACATATTCTGATTAATCCTTTAATTATCACCTACCATATTATAATTTAGAGTAAAGTCTACTAATGGATAATGTTCACATGTTTTGAAAACTAATACATAACATGATAAATACCGGTAGCAGGGTACAAAACAAATTACTAATGTATGACATCATTATATATATATTTTATTTTTTTTATGGGTGAAAATGGTATGGTAACCCCGCCTGCACTAACAGTATATAAGGGTAATAGATGAGAATGAAAACAGCCCAGTTAGCCCATCATGATGAATTCATCAAGAATTAACCATGATAGTTTCCAGAGGGAACCGCGAGGAGGTCGACCTGGTTGGGTATGTTGCTAGCAATGAGATTCTCAGTCTCCATTACTAACAATCCCTTTCCCCCCGGCATCATTATATTGAAAAATAATAAAATGCAATCGAAACGATCGCATAGGTGTCTCCTGCCTACCTACGTCAATGTCATTATATTCTTTTTGTCAAATGTTAATGTCGAAAAAAGCGCGGGAAACGTTTAAAAAAGCGGGAGTGTTTTTTGATCTTCTTTAAATTAATTTTATATTTAATTATATAAGGATTAGTCTTTTTTATATATTGTGTATTAGATTGTATATTTAATTGTATATTTTGTAGTAATAGTGTTTGTTGCTGTAAATATTGGTAAGTAAATTACCTATATTAACATTATGGATCCACCTATAGACCCTGGGGGGACAACCCCCCAGGTGTCTGCAAATATAACTATTCCATTCAATAATAGTTTTGATATATTGGGTAAATCTAGTATGGACACAGATGGTTCTAGCGTTGCAAGTTCTAAACGTAAGCGAGTACGTGGTGAACGTCGCATTTGCAAACATTGCAATAAAAAACGAAGGAGGCACACCAAGGGTCTTGAATCTAAAATTAAAGATAGTGATTGTCAATGTATTGAAGATGAGAATCAAACTCAAGTATCAATACCAGTTGTAAACAATACCGAGTCTGTTAAACCTGCTTCTCCACCCAGTACTTTAAGCAGAACTTTGTACAATGCCGAGGATATAGCACCTTATGTCGTTCATGTACAAAAAAATGAAACACATCCTAATGATAACACTACATTACATCCTATTGCATTTGGTCGCTTTTTACACACTAATAAGATAAATAATATAGTGAATGGTAGCCTCAAAAGAATAGGAAGAAACCGTTTATCGCTTTCTTTCTCAAATTTTGAAAATGCAAATGCATTTTTAAATAATAGTAACTTAGAGACACATAATTTTAAGGCATTTATACCTTCTTTCCATGTAACCCGTATGGGAATTGTGAGGGGTATTCCTAAAGATTGGACAGAAGAGGAAGTAATCCAAAATATATCAGTACCGATAGGTTGTGGGAAAATTCTAAAAACCAGAAGAATAAAGAAAAAGACAATTAATGAAGGACAACCAAGTTTTATTAATACTGAAACCATTGTTATTACTTTTGATGGACAAATATTGCCAAAAAGAGTATTTATGTTTTACACATCATTAACTGTAGATTTGTACATTTACCCTACTATCCAATGCTATAACTGCTGTAGGTTCGGACATGTCAAGATGCAGTGTCGTTCAAATCCTCGGTGTTATAAATGCAGGCAAAATCATACAGGTGATAAATGTGAAGTAGATGAGGAAAATGTTTCTTGTATCTTGTGTAATGGTTCTCATTCAGCAATTAGTAAAAAATGTCCTGAATATGCACGTCAGAAAGCCATTAAAGAAACAATGGCCCATAGTTGTGTTTCTTATGCTGAAGCATCAAAATTTCATCCTCCAACTTCTAAACTATATTCAGATGTATTAACATCATCATCTCCTTCCAATAAATCTCATTTTCAATCTTCTTTCCTTAAAGAGAAATCATCATTACCACATATACAATCATCATATAAAAAAACAGTTACACTTAAACCACGCTCTCCTCAAAAAATACAACAAGGATATGATCGTTCTGCCCATGAAGCCATAGTTAAGGAATATAATATTCCTGCTCCCTCTAATGGTTGTGCATTATCATCAAATAATATTGACAATAATCAATCCATCATTGATATTATTCTCATGCTTATTAAAGTGTTATCGCAATCGAAAATGATACAAACAACTTTACCACCGTCCAACGATGCCATGTACAATGTATTTTCTCAATTATTAACTTCTCACAATGGATTACAAAGTCCAAATAATTCAGTGGAACTGTCGTAGCATAACAAATAAGAAATCAGACTTATTTTATTTGATTAATAAATATAATCCTTTTATAATAGCTCTACAAGAGACTTGGTTAAAGCCAGGATATCCTTTTAGGATTTCAGGCTTTACAAGTCTCCGTGATGATAGAGCTGACGGATATGGCGGTGTTGCCATATTGGTCAAAAACTCCTTCTTTTTTTCTTCTTTTTCGCTTCCTGTATATAGCGGCATTAATGCAGCTGCTATAATTATAAATGGTATCTGTTTTGTTACTTTATATATTCCTGATCCTACATGCCAAATATATTCACAACTAGAACAATTATTTTCAATTTTACCTAAACCTTTTCTCGTAATGGGCGATTTTAATGCTCAGCACCAATCGTGGGGCAGTTCTACTTCTAATTTTTATGGTGGAAAACTCCTGACGATAATTGACACTTACAACTTATGTATTATTAACTCAGATGTACCGACACGTAGAACTGCACCGAATGAAGGGTTTAGTGCTCCTGATATTTCAATATGTTCTTCTGATTTAGCTTCTTCACTGTCGTGGTATCCTCATTCCTCTACCTTCGGAAGCGATCACTTTCCCCTCATTCTTTCTTTTCCAATTTCCATTCCCTCAAGTCGAAAGAGTGGTCCTCGACTTAAATATAATTTATCAAATGTAGACTGGAATATTTACAAACAATATTTAGATAATAAAATATCGGAGTTACCTATTGTTTACCATGGAAATGAACATCATTGTTGTAATGACTTGATAATTAATATGAAGGAGGTTGCTGATTTATTATTTCCTGTTAAAAATAGTGCTTCAGGGAAAATTCCCTCCCCACCTTGGTGGGACAAAGATTGTACGGAAGCAATTAAAAATCGTAAAGAGGCTGAAAAAAATTATAATAATTACATGACATCAGAAAATTTTGAAATTTACACCGCAGTTTCACGTTCTACTCGAAAACTACTGAAAAAACAGAAGTTGGAAGGTTGGAGAAGATTTTGTTCTTCTATCTGTCCAGAAGTTAATTCATCAGTCGTTTGGAATAATATTAAAAGATTCAGATCTGCCTTTAGTGATCATACATCACGTTCTGCACTCGATTTAACTTTAGCGAATAAATTTTTAGATCGCCTTGCTCCTAGTTATGTGCCGGAATGCCTTTACAATATTTCTCTATCCGTCTCTGACGAATTATCCGAACTTGAGTCTCCTTTTACTCTTGTAGAACTTAAAGGTGTTCTAGCTTGTATTAAAGACTCTGCACCGGGAGAAGACGGTATACCGTATTCCTTTTTAAAAATGCTAGCGATGCGACATTAATTTACTTTTTAAATATAATTAATTCCATAATTATTTCGGGAAATATACCTACTTCATGGAAGTCTCAGATTATTATACCATTTCTAAAGCCTCATAAACCACCTTCTGAACCATCTTCATACCGTCCTGTTGCACTTTCCTCTGTCTTACTAAAGCTAGCTGAACATTTAGTGAAGAACCGTCTAGAATGGTTTTTAGAAAGTAATAACTTACTATCCCCGAACCAGTTTGGTTTTAGGAAAGGTAAGAGCACCTTAGATAATGTGAGCATTCTTATTTCAGATATTCATATAGCTTTCTCACAAAATTTGTCAATCCTCTCAGCCTTTTTAGATATAAATTCTGCCTATGATAATGTAATAATTTCTATTTTAAAAACTAAATTACAAGCTTTAAATGTACCGGTAATGCTTTCTAATTTCATTATTAATATTTTATCACAAAGAACAATACATATGGATCTAGATGAAGATACCAAATTATCTAGAACAGTATGGAAAGGCCTTCCACAAGGATCTGTTCTCAGTCCAATTTTATTCAACATATACACATACGATCTAGAATCATTCCTTGATAAATCCGTAAAAATTTTACAATATGCTGATGATCTCTTATTATATTTTATTGCGAAGTCCATAGAATCTGCTTCTGCCAAATTATCTGATTCATTAGATTTGTTAAAAACGTGGTTAGATGCAAATGGTCTTAATCTTTCTGTAACCAAGAGTAGTGTAGTTTTGTTTTCAAGAATGAGATCACCGCAACAAATTAAGGTGCTTTATGATAACTCATACATTCCTATAAAGACTGAAATTAAATTTTTAGGTATCGTGCTAGATAATAAATTAACAGGTCTGTCCCACTGTAATTATATTTCCACGAAATGTGAGCGTAACCTTAACATTCTTAGGTGCCTTGCTGGAGTTTGGTGGGGAGCACATCCCGTTTCACTAAAACTTGCTTATAATGGTCTTATAAGGAGTGTCATTGATTATGGAACTTTTTTGTTAGCTCCAGGAAGTTCATTTGCTTTTAAGAAATTGGATTTAATTCAATCAAAGGCCTTGAGGATTATCTCTGGAGCAATGAAATCAAGTCCAATCAATGCTTTACAGCTCGAAGTCGGTGATCCACCTTTGGTTTTAAGAAGGCAATATCTATCTGATCGCTTCTTTTTTCGTTGTTTACAATTATCTGATCATCCGCTTATTCAAAAGTTATCTCAACTACATATCTTTATTTCGTCTTCATCTTATTGGAAACATAAAAAACCTCCATGTTTAATACAAAGTTATGAAAAATATAAATCCATAGAGTCTCCCACTTTTACATCGTCCTGTTTTCCCATTTATAAATGCTCATATCAATCTTTAGTTTTATCTCCTAATATTAAATATGATTTTGGGTTATCAAAAAATGATTCAGAATTGAATGCCAAATTTATGTTTATAACTGACATTGAATGGAATGAATGGCACTACATCTTTACTGATGCATCAAAACCAGACAATAGCGGTTGTGTAGGTGTGGGTGTGTTTCATTCACAATTTAATATCGTTCAAAAAATTAAACTTCCACCGGAGTCTTCAGTTTTTACCGGGGAATGTTATGGTATTTTAAAAGCTGTAGAATATATACTTTTAATGAAATTACATAAGGCAATAGTTTTCACTGACTCTATGAGCTCTTTGCAAGCTCTAGCCAAATATCCGTTTAAATCAAAACCAGTTTATCCCATTATTTGTGACATAAGACAAAGTCTTTATCTTTGCATGTTGAGAGGTTATTCCGTTTCTTTTGTCTGGTTACCAGGACACAGTGGTATTAGCGGCAATGACAAAGCTGACCTTATTGCAAGAGAGGCTGTAACTTGTGGTGATATGTATCCGTATCATAATTACTGTAGTGACCTAGCTTGTCTCCCAAAAATATATTTAAGGTATGCCTGGAAGGAATATTGGGAAAAAACAAGTACAATAAAAGGAAGATTTTATCGCCTTATACAACCCGATATTCCTTTCAAACCATGGTTCTGTAAATTAAAGCTTGGAAAGACCGCAACAACTATTATAACTCGTATGCGTCTAGGTCACGTATGCACACCTTCTCATTTATACAAGCTTGGTATTGTACAAAGTTCGTCGTGTAATTGCGGTGCTGAAGTGGCGGACTTGAATCATATATTCTTCTCATGTTCTAAATTTGACCACACCTCCCTTTTTAATCATCTCCGATCCATCCGTGTTCCATTCCCAACTTCTATTCTTACTCTACTTTCTTCCAATGATTCTATTATCTATAAAATACTATCTCCATATATATATGATAACAATATTAAGATTTAGTTATATTACATGAATATATTTATAGTTGCATCAATTGCTTTTCCTATATATTTATAAGTATATTCTCATATGTACAAGTATATCCTTCATATCCTATAAATATCCTAGACCTAATCCTTATCCTTTCTAAATTCGTTTGTGTTAGGTATTTTTATTACTATTATCGTTTCCCCGTTTTGTTCTTGGCAAAATACCCTAATATCGGGGTGAACGCCACAAAAAAAGAAAAAAAAAAAAAAAAAAAAAAAAATGTTAATGTCAAAAAGTTGTCAAGTAGTCATTAGAATTTGTATTTACAATTTTATATGAAAAATAGCACATAAACATTTGTGGAAGTTTCATAATAATACTTTATTTCGTTTTGAAAATATAATCTCCATTATGAACCTGTTACCCAAAACTCACAAGGAATTCAGTGAAAAAGACTATTGGAATAAATTCTTCAAAAAGCGTGGCGCTAAAGCTTTTGAATGGTAGGTTAGAACTTTTATATTTTCTATAAATAACCTAAACATGTAAACAGAACATGATCATTTATTTTTTAAGGTACGGCGAATATCTAGAGCTGTGTGCACACATTCATAAATACATAAAACCGAAGGATGCTGTTCTTATCACGGGATGCGGTAATTCAAGCCTCAGCGCCGATCTGTACGACGTGGGATACTCAAATATAATAAATATAGACGTTTCAGAGGTCGTCATAAAGCAAATGACCTCAATAAATTCACACAGAACAGGAATGAAATTTGTTTGTATGGATGCTACGGACATGTCATTTGAAAATGACAAATTTAACGCGGTTCTTGATAAAGGAACGTTGGACGCTTTAATGCCAGATGATGGTGATGAAACCCAAAAGAGAATTGATAAATATTTTGCAGAAATAAAGAGAGTCTTGAAGCTTGGTGGTCGTTATGTCTGTATATCATTGCTACAAAGTCATATATTGGATAAATTGTTATCAACATTCTGTGACAAATCATGGATGTTCCGAATTGTTCGGTGCCACGAGGCCGAGGAGAAGAATGCAGAGAGCGGTGATGGTACAACATTACCAGTTTTCATTGTTATCGCTACAAAATTTAAAGAAATGCCACAACAAGTAAGTCTAGAATTGTTTCAAAATTTCACTTTAATTTTGTTATTGCATTTATCATAATGTTGATAATCAATAAATATCTCTGACTACCCTATTAGGGTTTATAGTCGTTATAAAGGAGATGTTTAAGAAACAATAATATGCAGGTTCTTAATAAGATCAATAGATGCCTTAATAATAATTTTTAAATGTAAATGTGTCTATCTATGTGTTTGTAATGGCATCACACAAAAACTACTGCACCAATTTGGATGTGATTATCACAGTTGTATTCTTGAAAGTCCAAATTAAGAACTGGTATCTGTTTAATTTTGATGTGATATCTAGAAGTGATTTATTTCTAGTTTTTATTATACACAAAAATTTATTAATTTATTAAAAGTTTAGTTTATTTATTATACACAAAAAAATATTTATTTATTAAAAGTTTAGTTTATTTATTATACACTAAAAATTATACTGTTGTAATTTATTTTGAATAATACAATAGGTAATATTAACTCTGTAAAAGATTTTTCCGCAAACCCTGATTGAAAAGAAGCATTCGTTACTAGTGTGCGTACAATAAGAAAAGAATATTTAAATTGAACAAAAAACCAATGACTTTAATTGATGTTTCTGCTTTTGGAGTCCACATGTATGCAGTAGCTGTTAAAAAGCTAGTATCTATATCTAGTGAAAGCAGATTGTTCTAGCTTAAAGCTCTTTTTCTAGTCATTTTGTTGAGTAAATCATTATTGTTCTATCCCTCATACTTTTGTTTAGATACTGGAAGTGTGCATGGCAGGTGAGAAGATGTTGAGGCTGAGCAGACCCGAGGAGGTGAGAGAATATGTGAAATCAGCACAAGATGCCGCTTTTGTCACCAATGGACTAGCGAAAACAAATCTAGATGATGATAATGAGGTAATCATAAACTGAGATAAGTATGCTAGTTTAATAGCTTTTACTTGTGACTTTGTCTATGCGGTAAAGATAAAAAGTAGCCTATATATATAATATAGTATGTTTATTACCATTTTTCATAGTATCTGTTTTTTTTTTTTTGGTGGGGGAAAATGGTGTGGTAACACCGCCTGCCCTAACGGGATACGCTGACGGAGCACCAGTGAAGGGTGATAGATGAGAATGAAAACAGGCCAGTTAGCAAGAAAAACTTCGACAATGAGTTCATTCCATAACCTGAGCATTCGTGGCAGGAAACATCTTTGAAACCGTGCTGTAAGGCAAACTGTACGATGGTTGAAAGTGGCCGTGGCCATCATATTTAGTAGAGGGAGACTTTGTACAAAAATAGTTTGCTTGGGTACCTCTATCCCATTCGTGTTTCTACCGTGAAGCAGTTGTGTTTCCATGGCTGTGTTTCTGTTTGAAGGGTGGGATATGTCAGTGAATTTAAAGTACAGAGTAACAACACCTTAGTCCTCAGGAATGGCAACGCATGGGGGTATGTCCATGATACTGCTCATGCCTATAGGCGACGGTTACCACTTGGTATCATGTGGGTCGTCAACTTGATTGCCATTCTAAGTTGCATAAAAAAATATATTGGACAATTCCTCGTCAGCATAATTCATTGTATAAACGGTAGAACACGCAGAGTGACGCAATATGTCTCCAAAGACTTGCCAAAGCTTTGGATGGAGTTACAATTGTATTACATTAGTAAGGTGTGATGGTATCTTGCACAGGTGTCATTGGACCTATACAAACCGGGCGAGGAGCTGCCGCGGTACACATTGTATGTGGTTGACCAGAAGGGGTCTCAGGCTGTCAACAAGTATGCAGTATTCATTGTGCCACAGGGCAGGTGAGTCATATTATCTATACTATATTATAAGAGAGTAAGAGGTGAAAGGTCGTGAATGTCTAAATATTGACGTCGTAAGCATAGAAATAATAGAACCAATTACTTGTCAAAATGAGGGTGGTAGGCCCGTATCCACTTCTTCCTCTTCCGTTCTCGCAATTTCGAATATGGATATGTCAAACTCACACGCATATAAACTCATACGCACACACGCACACACGCACACAAGCACACAAGCACACACGCACACACGCACGCACGCACGCACGCACGCACGCACACACACGTCTCTCTAGCTACACGTAATCAATAGTATGTACATTCACAAAATATTATTGTGTATTTACCACATTTTGTATTTTTTGTATTTATTTTTTTGTGTTTATTTTTATTTTTTGTTGTTCCTTATCATGATGGCAGTTAGTAATATATTACTGATGTTTGTTTCTGAGGAGGGGGGCCTGGTGATCTAAGATACAGGCAGCTCGCTGCCCAATTTAGACGCCAGTCTCCCACAACTGTGTGTACATTTATATTATTGTTGCCAATTAGTGTATAATATGGTTGTGGTGGAATAAAAAAAAAAAATCCGCTGACATACAAAACCAAAGATGGATACAGGCTGCTGATTGCAGACTTTCAAAATTGGCCGTACCTACGTTGAATCAACGACTATCAACACGTTTATTACATCTAGATAGAAAAAACCTCAAAATAATAATAGGGACAATAACGGGCCATTGTCCATTAAACAAACATTTATACACAATAGGAGCCACAGACAGCCCTCTATGTCGAGGCCGTTTCGACGCCGAAGAAACGGCTGCTCACGTAATCCTGGAATGTGAGACTGTGGCCCATCAACGTTCAGAAATTCTCGGAACGGTGAGGTCGCTCCGTGAGGCATGTGAAGAACCCAGGAAGCTTCTGCGCTTCTGGGCAGAGCTAGGTTGGCTGTACTAGCCACGAGTCACACGCACAACGGCCCAAATGAGAGGCTAAGCGCGGAAAATAGAGTCTTTTTCACATTGTTCATTTGTCTTGTCAAAGGCAGTTAGTTTGGTCTGTCAAATGTCTTAGTGGCCAGCGAGAAAATCGGTTGAACAGGTTTCAACAGGAGGATTGTTTGTTTATTTGTTTGCTTGTAACACTTTATTGTACTATTTTTCTTTCTAGTATTTTTTTTTATACAACTTTGAATGGCAAACAAGCTGACGGCCCACCTGATGGAAAGTGGTAACAGTTGCCTATGAAAAAGAAATAGTTCTTAATTCAAATATAGTTCTTCTATTGTTTTGCAGTTGTCTAAAATTTGTATCGAATATACGTTGATACGGAAATAATTCTTTGTTGTATTATTTCGTAAAATCACAGCCTATAGACATGAGTAGTACCATGGACATAACAGAGAGAACATACTGTTTCGCCCATGATACCCCCCATGCGTTGCCATTCCTGAGGACTCAGATGTTATTCCTCTGTACCCAGTAAATTCACGCCATATCCCACCCTTCAAACCGAAACACAACCATGCAAACACAACTGCTTCATGGTTAAAACACGAATGAGAGAAGAGTATGCTCTTTAAAAAATCATCTTGTGTATAGGTAATTGTGTAGCGCATTGGCTGTTAGATGTAACATGTTGGCCTGCAGGTTTGCTTGTTGTAGTGAAGAATTTTCCCCCTGGAAACCATCATGGTTAATTATTGATAAGTTCGTCATGATAGGCTATGACCTGCTTCATACTCACTTATCATCACTCACTGGTACCTCGCCAGTGTATACCGAAAGCGCAGGCGGGGTTGCCATTTCATTGTCATCCATTAAAAAAATAGCTACATTGCTAGCAATATAGCCTATCAGGTCGACCTTGGCTTTGATTTCTCTTGAAAAATCATCATGGTTAATGTACACACAATCCAGCACTGAACTATGGACGAGCGCCCTCTGGTATCGAAATAAAACAAACCGGTGATGTTGGATCATTGTACATGGGAAACTTTTTTATTCAATTATAATACATGTATCTAGTCTAGATAACAAATAAAATTATAGCGCCGTCTAACTTTTTGACAGCGCCATCTGTTATTAACCTTAGGTACTAAACAATTTGATTACAAACTTATACAGACGATAGGTTAAACTGCTTTAGCTCACTTATCATCTCTCACCGATAACGTAGGCAGTCCATTAGAGTATGTCCCAATTCCATTTTCACCCACCAAAAAAAAAAAAAAAAAGAACCAATGAAAGTGTAGTTCTGAAATCTTGAAAAGCAGTGTGTCGTTATGTCAACAACGCGAGCGTATCGTAGTTGTTGTGTCAACACGCAAACAAACAAAAATAGACGTACCATTTATAGATTTAGATAAAAACACGATTTTATCTTGATTACGGGATTCATCGTGAAGCGTGGGTTTTATATAGGAATGAAAATAACACGTAAACAACGCGAATGTGTTTACAAAACATGTTTAATAAAAATTATAATTAAGTCTCCGGCATTGACGTAAATCCGCGAACGAGTTGTAAAATGGGATTATAAAAAATTTCCCTTTGTGTAAGCATTTTTTTAATGCCCATTATCATGGACATTTCTTATATTGATATCACCCGGTCGAAGCCGGGGCGGGTCGCTAGTGTATAGTATACAGTTTTGATAGTTTAAGATCGAACTAGACTTTACGCCAACTATACGCGAAATACGAAGGAAATTTTGTCCCCGGATATATGTCTCAGTTATAACGGCCGTGATTCGATTCATTCGATTCGTGAGCCTGAACTTGCCTTCGTGCTTATCGATCCTGCGCCATAAGCGTTCGGGGCTACTCATGATTAAGGGTCCCAAACGGTCCTTAAACTACACATAGCCACTTATTCATAAAAACGTCAAACCTCTTATAAACCTATTTTAATTATTGAACAGTGTTGTCTCTTTCTTTTGTGCTCAATTCTTAATTTGAAAGAAAGTGACAAAACAGTGTAATAGTTAAAAGGTAAGTTTCTAGAAGGTATTACTTTTAATGAATAAGCGAGTTAGTCATTACGTTTATTTTTAATATAATATTTACATGCAAAACTTTTGGCCAAAATAAAAGCCCATTATCTGCATAAGTTCTAAAATACACTCGCATTGCATCCGCTCACTTTAGTTGGTCTATTTTTAAATCGCTTCAAAATGGAAGAGTTCTATTTAACAGTTTTTTTTTTCGTTTGATATCTTATTCCATCATTAATTCTGCGTAAAACAATATAAATTTTCCATAAGGTCAAAGCTGTTCTCGTAGGACCTACTAGCGGATGGTCACGTATGCTGTTGTGTATGTTTTGCAACAACGCCTCCAGAGTTTGGATGCCTGCCCATGATCACAACTGCGCCCGTAAAAGCACCAAACACCTCGCAGTCGATGGACGGACGGACACGCGGTTATTAGTGCAAATTATATTTTACATTTTTATTCGCAATTCGAAATTGGAAAAAAAAATATAATACCTATTTACATTGTTATTTGAAAATCGAATTTGGGAAAAATAAATTGTCTATATTATTATTTGAAAATCGAATTCAGAAAATATATTACGTACATTCTTATTTGAAAACGAATTTGGGAAAAATATTTATACAGGTAGGTATTTTTTTTTATTTATTTGAGTAGATTTTTCTTTTACTTGATTTTTTTTTTACATTAGTGGTTTCTAAAAGTAAAAACTCTTTTACACAATTGCAGCCTATATAAATTATCGAATAATAGAAGTGTTGTAAAATTTAAAAAAGTTATTTTGAATACGAACCGAAGTTAATTTGATACTATAATCAGTATTTTTTTTTTGTATACATACTTTTTTTATACGGTAATGATAACAAACAAGCGTACAACTCTGACAAATTAATTATTACTTGCAACGTGTGGATCTCTGTAGCACTAAATCAGTGTTTCTGTTTTTTTTTTTTAATATATTTTTTTATGAACATTTAAAAGTTAGAACAAACAATACACATTGGGGAGGAAGGGATTGTTAGTGTAGGTATTTAACAGGCCCATTGCTAGCATATATCTAGCTATCTGGTCGACCTCCACGCGGTTCCCCCTGAAAACCGTTCGTGGTTAATTCCCATGGAATTCTTCACACTGACCTGCTTTCATCCTCACCTATCATCTCTCACTGGTGCTCCACCGGTGTATACCGATATCGCAAACTGAGTTACCATTCTATTATTATTCATTAAAAAAAAAATCATTGAACATTTACAAAATTTCATTAAAATACGTTGAGCCGTTTCGGAGATTAGCGTCACCCAGAATCTTTATATATTAAGACTAGCTTTTTTTTATATGAAAAAGTTGGCAAGCAAGCGTACGGCCCGTCTGATAATAAATAGTTACTGTAGCCTAGGCTGGGACGCCTGCAACACTATATACTAGTTACATATCGCAGCTTTTCTTGCGTAAGTTTTTACTTCATGTTGCAAGTGTGAAAATGAGTTTGTTTATTTGTTTGTTACTCATTAAACTACTTATGTTTAATAATGGCCATAGAGTTTTTATAAAACTTTTTTGAAAGTCAAATTATAAAAAAAAATCATAAAAAAGACTCGTGTTTAACTTCTTAATAAAGAAAACACTTGTTTAATGTCCTCCGTTTTATTCATGTTTATGTTTTTTTTTTTTAATATGTATTTAGTTTTGAGGCCATGTTTGCCGCATGTAAATTCAAATTCAAATTCAAATTCAAAAATCATTTATTCATGTAGGACATTTTAGCCGCTTATGAACGTCAAATTTTTACATTATAATTTTATATTTACCCTACCGTCCAGTTCGGTATATAGATCCAATTGAGAAGAACTGGCAAGAAACTCAATTGAATTACTTTTTTTTTAAAGCCAGTTTATTTACAATGTATATTTATATAGGTGTCTATGTCTAACATTAAATGAAAATTCAGTGCATGAACAACTATTGCCATGCACACTCGTCATTCAAGTAATCGTTTAGTGAGTAATAGGCTTTGCTCAGTAAATATGATTTAACAGATGTTTTGAATTTATTTAAGGGTAATTCCAACATATCCTTTGGTATCTTATTGTAAATTTTTATACCTATTCCCATAAAAGACCTATTAACTTTTTCTAAACGATACTTGGGGACAGCAAGTTTGTCTTTAAATCTAGTATTAATATTATGAATATTGCTGTTTTTTGGAAATAAGTCAAGATTTTTATGAACATATAGAATATTTGAATATATAAATTGAGAAGCAACGGTGAGAATATTTGCCTCTTTGAATTTCTCTCTTAATGAGTCACGACTCTTCATACAGTAGATCGCTCGAACGGCACGTTTTTGTAATATGAATATATTCTTAATATCTGCCGCTTTTCCCCATAGTAATATTCCATAAGAGAGTAAACTATGAAAATAACTAAAATAGACTAATCTAGCAGTATCAGTATCAGTGTACTGTCTAACTTTACGCACGGCAAAAGCTGCTGAACTTAGTTTCGCTGCAAGGCTTTGAATTTGTGCACCCCATTGTATTTTATTATCTAGTGTGATTCCTAGAAAGACAGTAGATTCTATAAATTCGAGAGATTCGTCATTTAATTTAATATTGCAATTAGTATTGAAACTTTTAGATAGAAATTAACACATTTTGTTTTTTTAGCGTTTAACATAAGATTGTTAGTTGTAAACCAGTGCAGGAGACGCCGCAAAGCACTATTTACATCGTCATAATTATTAGTCATTCTATTAACTTTAAAAATCAATGAAGTATCGTCTGCAAACAATACTATGCCGCATCTATCCTGCATGGCATATGGGAGATCATTAATGTAAACTAGGAATAAAAATGGACCGAGAATAGATCCTTGAGGTACACCCATTTGCACAAGTGACCCGTCAGACGTAGCGTTGCTAATCTTCACTTTCTGTATTCTATCAGATAGATAAGATTTTATTAAATTTAAAGCATTGTCTTTGACGCCATAAAAAGCAAGTTTTTTTAGCAATGTATTATGATCAACGCAATCAAAAGCCTTAGAAAGCTCACAAAAAACACCTATCACATCCATTTTAGTTTCCCATGCAGCAAATACGTGTCTAAGCAACTCTGCACCTGCGTCTGTAGTTGAACGACCTTTGGAAAAACCTGTACTTTATATACAATATACTTTACATAAATAGAATAAATAATTTTATTCCGTTCACGTGGACGAAGCCGCAGGCTATATATATATATATATATATATATATATATATATATATATATATATATATATATATATATATATATATATATATAAAAAAAATAAAAAAAAACACATCTGGCAACCCTGGCTTTATACTACAACGCAATGCATCGTACGCGAACATAAACACGCCAGTGCATCTGTACTTATTATATTTAGACCATTCATATTAGACGTATTAGAAAACGTAAATATTGTGTTTGGTAAAATAACACTGGCTATTTTGATCTTGTTTTTGTTGAAATCTTTCATAAAATTCGATTACCTATCTCGTCTAAACCTTACACGAAATCTACGTGTGTAATCTACGTTTTTTTATATAACTTAGAATGGCAAACAAGCTGCCGGCCCACCTGATGGAAAGTGGTAACCGTCGCCTATAGACATGAGCAGTACCATGGACATAACAGAGTGTACTGTTTCGCCCATGATACCCCCCATGCGTTGCCATTCCTGAGGACTCAGGTGTTATTCCTCTGTACCCTGTAAATTCACTGCCATATGCCCACCCTTCAAACCGAAACACAGCCATGCAAACACAACTGCTTCACGGTTGAAACACGAATGGGACAGAGGTATCTAAGCAAACGACTTTTGTACAAAGTCTCCCTCTGGTTATTTTATTTATTTTGTCTTATAATTTCTGCATCTTTTTGCGTAACATTCATTCTATTTATTAAATAATACGTCAAGATACATTTTATGCGTAAGTATAATATAGAACACTGACAAAAAAAGAGGTAATTTGACAATTGTCTTATAAAAAGTTGATCCGTTTTTGAGGTTCGAGGCCCTATTTATATAATCTAAGGTCGGGACCTACACAGCTAAAGTGTTTGTAATGTAATGTATTTAAATTAAGTAGATATCATAATTCCGTATTCGCAGAGAATCCGAGTGGTTGTTCGGTACACCAGCCGGGCGGCGGCAGCTGCAGGACTCGGCGCGCTTCGGCCGTCTCGTGGTGGCCGTGCTGCGGAGGGGCCACCGCTTCGACAGCCTCGACGCCGTCAAGGACGAGTTGGCGCACTCCGCCAAGATGCTCATACCGTACGGCTTCGTTGGACAGGTACGAGCGACGACCGCGAGTATAGGCGTTATGGGGGGGGGGATTTGATAGATGAAAATGGTGTGGTAACCCCGCCTGCGCTAACGGGATACGCTGGCGGAGCACCAGTGAAGGGTGATAGATGAGAATGAAAACAGGCCAGTTAGCCCATCATGATGAATTCATCAGGAATTAACCATGATAGTTTCCAGGGGGAACCGCGAAGAGGTCGATCTGGTTGGGTATATTGCTAGCAATGGGATTCTCAGTCTCCATTACTTAACAATCCCTTTCCCTGCTAAGGGGAGGGGATACCCACCCCAGGACTTCTCAGCGTCGCAGAAAATGCCTAACATGACATATACAGCCTTTTTTTATTATTATTAAAATGATCTTAATACGTCAATGATTATGGTTAATTTTCAGCCGACTTCAAAAAAGGAGGAGATTCTCAATTCGGTTGTTTTTTTTAGTTTATTATCTCATAACTCCGTCAGTTATAAACGGGTATGGATTTTTTTTCTATCTAAATGGTGAATTATTTTTAGTAAGTTGACTGAATCAATTCAGGTTTAGGTTTTGTTTTTTTTTACAAAAAGCCGCCTTCAATTGTGGCAAAATAAATTATTTTTAATTTAAATACTAAACTATTTTGACTGACTTTGAAAAAAAAATCTATGGGACCAAATTGTATATCCATTTAAATAAAAAAAAAAAAATTATGAGGTAACAAATATAAAAAAATATTATCGAATATTTTTTATGTATATTTTATATATTTATTATCGAATATATAATAACGATATATTAATGTCGTTATTTTTATATATATTTCTATTATCGAATTTAGAAGCTCCTTTTTGAAGTCGGGTTGTCCCCCTCCCCAATCCGACTTCAAAAAGAAGAGGTTTGGTTTTTATTTTTCTGTCCATCTTTTATTTTGTAATTCTGTCATTGTATATATGTATCTTTATGTATTCCTACCGATGTAGACGAGATAAAAGAGAACTTGAATATAAAGCATTTTAATTATTTACCTGTTAAGAGAAACCACGGTGGCGGTCCTCCACCGTGCGTTTTTCAAGGCACTTTCTTCCACGCACAACCATTCTTTGGAATCAACTTCCAGCAGCAGTATTACCAAACCGATACGACAACATAACCTTCAAGAAAAGAGCATATTCCTTTTTAAAAGGCCGGCAGCACACCTGCAATGCCGCTGGTGTTGTGGGTGATCATGGGCGGCGGTAGTCACTTACCATCAGGTGAGCCGCATGCTCGTTTGCCCCCTGTGTTGTCAAAAAAAATTAAAAATACTTATTTTGATCGAATCCTGTTTGATAATATATAATTCTGTCGCCTTCAGATCCCGTTCGTGTCGCTGGGCAGCGACGTGGGGCGACGCGTGAGGGTGCACGAGGGCCGCTCGGCCGTCTCCGGCGACTTCGTGGTGGAGGACGTGGACGTGGAGGGCGCCACGCACCGCCGGCTCGTGTTCCTCGACAACCAGTTCCTGGTGCAGTCCGAGGCCAAGTTGAAGACGAGTGAGTTGTCGTGGTTTATTGTTGGACCTTTTATAAATAACGTTAGATAGGAGGGAAAGGGATTGTTAGTAAAGGGGTCAAATAGCCCCATTACTAGCAATATACTCTGTCAGGTCGACCTCCACGTGGTTCCTCCTGGAAACCATCGTGGCTAATTCTAGTTGAATTCGTCAGGATGGGGGCTCACTGACCTGCTTTCATCCTCATCAGTCATCTATCACTGGTGCCCCGCCATATCATTATCACCCATTAAAAAAAACTGACCCATTGCTAGCAATACACCCATCAGGTCGACCTCCACGCGGTTTCTCCTGGAAACCATCGTGGTTAATTCTAGTGGAATTCGTCACGATGTAGCCCATCATGACGAATTCTACTAGAATGCTATCTGAATCGTGACGAATTCCACTAGCACTGATCTGCTTTTATCGTCACCTACCATCACTCCATGGTGTCCCGCCAGCGTATACCGATAGCGCAAGCGGGATTACCATTCCATTATCATCCACTAAAAAAAATAACATTAGACATATCACCTAACGCCATCTAGTGCTAAATTAAGTACAACTTGTACTATGAGTCCTTTTTTTATGCAATTTAGAATGACACGGCGCACACGACTTACCTGATAGAAAGTGGTAACCGTCGCCTATAGACATAAGCAGTACCATGGACATAACACAGAGAGAACAACGACTTTCTGCTTTCATAGTGTCCTATCTTTTACCGCTATACCACGTCAATGTATACCAGTTGTGCAGATAGGGTTACCATTCCATTATCATCCATTGTAAAAATAAGGTGGAAATTTTCAATTTTCAGGGAGTAATGACACAATACTTACTGTGGATGACACAGTATCAGTTGCTTTGACACAGTATTCTTTGACGTATACGGCGAAATCTTTTTTATAATTATTTATAACGTATTTTTAATTTATAGCATTACAGTATTAAAGATTTATGTGAAGTGGAGGCGTCTAACACTCTTTTCTCTCTATCTACCGCGTTATTTCGTCTAGTCATATTATGGGCGAAAGAGAGAACGAGACAGCATCATTCGCCGTCTTTTTCAGTCTTTTTTTTTTTACAACACAGGGGGCAAACGAGCATGCGGCTCACCTGATGGTAAGTGACTACCGCCGCCCATGGTCACCCACAACACCTACGGCATTGCAGGCGCGCTGCCGGCCTTTTAAAAAGGAATATGCTCTTTTCTTGAAGGTTATGTTGTCGTATCGGTTCGGAAATACTGCTGCTGGAAGTTGATTCCAAAGAGTGGTTGTGCGTGGAAGAAAGTGCCTTGAAAAACGCACGGTGGAGGACCGCCACTCGTCTTATGCGTGAGCTAACGAAAACGTATCTACCAATCAGATATGTTTTGTCTAAAGAGTCTTAAATGTTTACTTGATTTTAATTCTAGTAAAAAAGAAGAACAAACCAAGAACGGTGGTAGACTTCGGCCACATATCGTTCTACCACTCGTTCATGTGTGTGGGCGTGCAGCTCTCGCGGGGCCCCTCCACCAGGGTGGCGGTCCTCGGGCTGGGCGGCGGCAGCCTCTGCATGTTCCTCAGGAAGTGCTTCGATGGCCTCAAGGTCACCGCGGTGGATATAGATCCTACTATGCTGGACGTAGCCAGGAATCACTTCGAGTTGACCACGGATGAAGATCTGCAAGTCCAAATCAAGGATGGCCTGGACTTTTTGAAGGACGAAGCCGTGGCTGGTCAGTTTATTTTCCTTATTGAACTGTTTGTATATATCATCATAGTCGTAGAATACTGACGGATCTGACGAATATTACATATAAAGATCCGTCAGTATTCTACGACTATGACGATATATGTGGTAAAAATAATGGATGCGTGGTAACATAGAGATCAACTCTAAACGAGGCATCTTCAGATAAATATTGATAGATAGATCACTGATCGAAGTCTAGTTTTAACATTAGTATCGCAAAACGTGCGTGGACTGAATAGCGGTCGGAGATTGATGGTTAATATGGTAGGTAGGGAAGGGGGAGATATACAACTTGTTTTTGTTTTTTTTATACAACTTAGAATGGCAAACAAGCTGACGGCCCACCTGATGGAAAGTGGTAACCGTCGCCTATAGACATGAGCAGTACCATGGACATAACAGAGTGTACTGTTTTGCCCATAACACCCCCCATGCGTTGCCATTCCTGAGGACTCAGGTGTTATTTCTCTGTACCCTGTAAATTCACGGTTGAAACACGAATGGGACAGAGGTGTCCAAGCAATCGACTTTTGTACAAAGTCTCCCTCTGGTAAACTTACTTGTGGTAATAGGAAGGAATTGTTTACTAACATGCGGACTACCAGTCTCATTGCTAGCAATATAGGTTGACTTCCATGTGCCCCCCCCCGCCCCGCTGGAAATTACCGTGCTGAAATCCAGGTGTATTCATCACGATGGGCTAACTGACCTGCTTTTTCATCCTCACCTATAATCCCTCACTGGTGTCCCGCCAGCGTATACCGTTAGCTCAGACAGAGATACCATTCTATTATCATCCATTAAAAGATAGAGCTTTGTACAAAAGTTGATTGCTTGGATACCTCTGCCAGCCTGAGATCCATACGATATTGAAATTCCTTGTTTATTTCATCATCACCGTTCCAGCCATTATCCGTCCACTGTTGGACATAGATTGCTATAACGAACGGTACGGAGCCACCTACATCCACGAACTCCGTGCAATGCATTTAAGGTCGTCACTCCATCTAGTGGGGCGTCGTCCTACATTGCGTTTGCCCGTACGGGGTCGCCACTCAAGAACCTTTTTTTCTCCGTCGTTTATCGGTTCTTCGAACTGTGACCAGCCTATTGCCACTTCGGCTCGCTTATCCTTGTTTCTTGCTTACTTGCAGGCAATCAGTACGAGGCGGTGATGTTTGATATGGACAGCAAAGACCGCACGCTCGGCCTCTCGTGTCCGCCGAAGCAGTTCCTCGAAGAGCACGTGCTGGACAATGTTAAGAGCATACTGACAAAAGATGGTATTTTCTTGTTGTATAAATTTTTTTAATCGACTTTAAAATGGTGGTTCTCAATTAGCTATATTTTTAAGTTTCATCATCATCATCATCACCATATCAGCCTTTAACAACCTACTGTTGAACATAAGCCTCTCCCTTGGGGGGTTTTCTAGTATTTGCCACGCTTGGCAGGCGGATTGGCAACCGCAGTTAAGACTTTGACGATGTTTTAAAAGGGGCGCTGCTGCCTATCCCTCACCTTCAAATATGAATAATTTTCCCCGTTTTTGCAATATTTTTCACTAATGCTTCGCTCCTATTGATAGCAACGTGATGCTATATAGTCTAAAACCTTCCTCGATAAATGGACTACCCGACACAAAAAGTTTTTTTTTTAATTCGAACCACTAGTTCCTGAGATTAGCGCGTTCAAACAAACAAACTTTTCAGCTTTATAATATTACTCGTAGTATAGAGGGGAAAAAGAATTGTTAGCAATAGAGTTTGACAGCCCCATTGCTAGCAATATTAAGTCGACCTCCACGTGGTTCTCCCTGGAAACCATCGTGAACAATTCGCGTTGAATTCGTCACGATGAGCTAACTGACCTACTTCATTCTCACCTATCATCCTTCACTGGTGCCCCGCCGGTGTATACCGATAGCGCGGGTGGGGTTACCATTCCATTATCATCCATTAAAAAAAATTAGTATAGATGATTTGCATGCATACTGCAGCACCTGTCTTCAATCGACGATTTTATATCCATCTATTAAAAAGCAAATTTTCTGTAATACTTCAATTAAACCTTATTGCATGATTTATGTTTTAATTCGCTGTCAAAGTATTTAAATACTAACCTTTTACTCGCTGATGCCCTAGTTCGTATAAGCTATATAACATTTAAAATGGGTTAAGGTATTTTCTGAATCTATTACAAACAAAAAAAAATTCCTTAATGTAAGTAAGTTTTGATGGTTCAGAAATATTGCAAAAATACTGCAATTTTTTTTTCATGTAACTTAGAATGACAGACGGCCCACCTGATGGAAAGTGGTAACCCTAGCTTATACACATGAGCAGTACTATGGACATAACAGAGTATACTGTTTCGCCTATGATACCCCCATGCGTTACTATTCCTGAGGACTCGGGTGTTATTCCTCTGTACCCTGTAAATTCACTGCCATATCCTACGCTTTAAATCGAAATACAGACATGCAAACACAACTGCTTCACGGTAAACACGAATGGGACAGAGGTGTCCGAGCAAACGACTTTTGTACAAAGTCTCCCTCTGGTAAAGTTAAAGCCATTATTGTTAATACTACCAAATGAGGGGTAGGCGTCATATATATATGTATTTATTATTATATTTGTTATCTTCACGCAAAATCTTTTATGGAGTAGGTAGAGTGAATTTGTGATTAATATTAAAATTCGAAATATTATTCTCATTCAATTTTCATTCTATTTTCAGGTAATTTTATACTGAATCTAGTGTGCAGGGACAAGTGTCTCCAAGAGTCCATACTTGAAACCCTAAAACAACACTTCACACATCTGGTGACGGTAAAATTGTATGAAGAGGTGAATGAAATAGTTATCGCCACGAATTCCAAGAGAGCATACTCTATGGACCATTTTGAGGAAGCCATCAAGAATCTCAACACGACAGCTAGAGAGAAGAGGCTAGTGGATGTCAGATGTGTTGATTTGAAAGACTTTATGCAGTCAGTCACTGTGATGTCATAGAAAATAAATTGTCTCCTAGTTCATAATGCACCTCATTGGCGTATTTAAAAAAATCCAGAGTGAGTTGACCTTGTAGACGAATGTTAAGCGAATCCATTAATGGTATTGTTTTATTATTATTTTTAAAATTTTTGAAAAATTCACATCTCTTAAGGAGAGGAGATGGCAAACTAACTCCCGGCAGAAGCACAGTCGGCCCGGGTTCAGGGCCCCAAGGAGAGAAACCGGCGTACAATGCGGGCAGAATCTAAGAGCACCGCTTTCTGCATCTTTCCCGGGAGTGAGCCGCCTCGGAATCCCAACCGTCTGAGATGTTGTTCCAGACTGGTTGGGATAAAACCATTCACCGACATAACGATTGGAATTATTTCGGCGGATGTCACCCCCCACATTTCGGTCACCTCGTGAGCCAGGTCGAGATATTTTCTCTTTTTCTCAGTTATTATTATTGAAAAACTAGATTTTTCAAACAGAATGATGTCACTGTGACATTTTCCACCTCTTTTGTGAGCCCTTTTTTAAAAAATCGCTGCTTTTCCTATCAATGATTATTATTATATTATTATTATTGAAAAACTACGCTTTTTATCTCCTCAGGATATAGTGTGTTTTCCAAAGGAGATATATTGTTTATGTATCAGTGGGCTACAGCCACACATTCAGTGCTGCGGCGTTTCTTTAAAATGGAATCATTATCAATAGCAAGTTCATGAGTTGGAATGAGACATCGGATGTTGCTATCTTTTTCTAGATCAGGGATTTAGAAACTCGTCTAGAGGGTAAGGTTTTGTAAAAAAGCACATTATAAACACAAAATTAAAAACTTTACCAGAGGGAGACTTTGTACAAAAGTTGATTGCTTGGATATCTGTCTCATTCATGTTTCAACCACAAACAGTTGTGTTTGCTGGCTGTGTTTCTTTAAAATGGAATCATTACTCGGAGGATAACAAGTTCATGAGTCCTCAGGAATGGCAACGACATGGGATGATATCTTTTTCGAAACAGTATACTCTGTTATGAAACTCATCTAGAGGCGATGGTTACCACTTTCCAAAAGGTGGGCCGTCATTATAAATTCAAAAAAAAAAACTTAGCTCGCAACTTGGGGTGGGAATGATTCTCCCCTTAAATACGCCTATAGTGTACATAGATATATTTAATATCTGTATAATATTATGTAAAAAATATTTTTATTGAATATAAATTGGTTCAATCAGCAGCCACACTCTTGAATCTAATATTGGTATCAACCCAATCTATTGCCAATGACAATTTTGTACTACACTCGTGAAACTACAATTAAAAATTAAGTTAGACTTGGGATCGGTTTGCAATAGTTTGCATTGGCCAGTTGCACTAATATGAATCTATCAGAACAACATGGAACCACTATGTCGCTAGTGTTGCAATTTGAGAGCGTGAAACGTTACAATTCTAATATCAATTTATTGTAATTTATTTCAAGAGTAACGCCACAGTACTTATTGTAAATTGCGTTCGAATATATAGTTTGTTTTCTATAGAACTTCTACATACATACATACATATCTGTCACGCCTGTCTCCCATTTCTATAGAACTTCTTTTAGAGAGTAATCAAGCGTTGTTGCAATTATTACAGAAACACCTTTGAAATTAAATTAGTAACAAATTGAAATGATCAATTAATCAAATTTTGGACCGACTTCTTGAAGAAGCAGGTTCTTAATTCGGGTATAAAATGGTTTGTTCTTATTGTGCTATTTGGATTTTTTTTTTTATTAAAATCAGTTTAGTAGTCCTTTCTGAATTAATATGACTAGTTTTGGCGCAACTGACGTTGTTTTTTTTTTGTAGAACATAATTATATTTGTACCAAAATTAGATATAAGCACTTTTCTATGAGTGGTGTTTAATTGTTCGTTTGTTTAAATATTTATTAAATTCTATTGAAATAGACTATACATAAATTCTTTTTAAAAAAAAAAAGGGAACAAAGATATTTTGTTTGAGAATATTGTTTCAATTTTGGAGAGAGATACAGAATCGACCTACACCTATTGATTTTGACAGCTTATTCTAATAATGTGATAATTCCATACAATTGAATGCGATATACAGTGATATCGTTAAAGGAAATGTTATGTGAAATCTCTGATCTCAAGAGAAAGTACTTTCTCTAGAGGTCATAGATATACCTCAGTATTTTCTGATATTGTTTAAGTTTTAAAATTGTATATTTTTGTACATACTTTTATGTTACTGTGATAAAATGAAATGAAACAAGAGAATAAATGTAATGCATTTAATGCCGTTTCTTTGTTTACCGAACATCCTCGAGACTAGCACTCGCATCCATCCACATTTATTGTCACACGCGCCTCCCCGGTCGCAGCCGGCACACGTATCACACCCGAGCAAACGTCACCGCATAAAATCAAATATAACAATCAATTAGGCTTCCTAATTTATCACAATTGGCACCTATAGAAAAGTCTAACAACAATACAAAATATGTTTAAACAATAATTTAAATGGTACAGTTAATATTCGCAGGGAAATAAATTACAATAGCTATTATCCGTTTACGCCACGCGCCACTAATAATACATAATTGCATATAATTCATTAAAACTAATAAAGTCCTCAAAACACTTTCCTCAGCATATTTTTCAAGCTTTTCTTCTTCTTGCTGCCGCCACTTTCGTTGTCTTGTTGGCCGTTTTGTGAGATTTCCGTGGACTCGGACCACAGGCTTCCAGTTGGGGACTCCGAGGCGGCCTTTTTGCTCATTTTCCCATTGAAAATTGGCTCCAAATTTCTCACGACCGGACTGGGCGTGCTTCTGCTGCTCTGTCTACTAAACGTTTTGAGAAAAGCCGGCGACGACAGCCGTCTCGTCTTCATCGTTTTCGTTTTCAAACTATTAAAGAATGATCCATTCGTTTTTGGTAACTCCTTTTTTGGTGGATTTGTGGCTGTACTCTCGTTGAACACTTTCGGTTCCGTTACAGGAGCGAAGAACTCGTCTTCATCCAGCGCTATGGGATTGTCTTGCAGTTTTCTAATGCTGTCTTGTCTGCCCCAGTTCGCTTTGGGGTCTTCTGCATTTCGGTGTATTATTGATGTTTTCCTTCTTCTATTCTTCCTAGCTACTTGCCATTCTCCGTCAAACTCGTCCACATCTTCTGCAGACTGGCGTGCTATCTGTAACGCCTCTTCGCTTGGCCTTCGCTTCTTCGCCGATGGCGTTGCGTGACCACTGACACCCTCTACAGATTTTCTTCTAAACTTGTCCTGTTTCTTTTTGGTTTTCTTCATGATTGGCACGAGTATCTGTTCCGGTTTACGTCTCCTTTTCATGTAGTAGAAGGCTCCAGTCATTATTAGACATTGGAATATGATAAACTTGAAGAACGTCACATTGCCAAACCAGCTGTCCCTGTCTTCCATGAGCGTGTTTAATGCCGACGCCATCTGTGTGAGTTGCTCCTGCAAGCTTGTCATCTGTTCTAGATACTTTTGTTCTCTCTCGTTGCTCTTTCGTCTTTCTTCGCTCATCTGCGCGACCGTCTTCTCGAAGGTCTTTTGCATTTCTTCGACCTGTTTCTTATATCGCCTGCTCAACTCTTCAAGATATTGCCCCGAAAGTGACATATTTCGCTCTAATGTCTGCAATAAAAAAAAAACAACAAAAAAATTAATGACAATCAAATGTTGATGAAACTTATTTCACTTCCATTTTCATTAATTTTACAAAAAAATCAGGCGTCTTGGTCAATTATATTTTAAAATATGACGACATACTAAAAGAATTTCAATAAAATATCAAAAATATTGACTTTGCATTGCTAAATTTCAAGTAAGAGATAAAAATGCTAAGATAAATACATAGTTACGAGGTCACAAATTAGATATAAGTTTGTCAATGACTTACAAACTTGGGCAATATTAAAATGTTTACCTCTATCCCATACGTGTTTCTCACGTGCAGCAGCTGTTTGGATGACTGTTTCGGCTTGAAGGGTAGGGTATGGCTGTGAATTTATAGGTTATGCCACACTTGGCAAGCGGATTGGCGCAATAAGGCTTTAGAGATGTTTTAAAAAGAACGCTGCTGTCAATCCTTCGCCCTCCCTCAGTTGCCTCTTACGACACCCACGGGAAAGTAGGGGTGGTCTATTCTATGCCGAAACCACAGAGTGTACCTACATAATAATTTAAAAAAATATTCTATCAAATACACACCTTAACCCTGTTTGACAACCGCAGGAATACTGATTCTTTCTGTAATGTAGCCTGAGCCTGGTTCTGATTCTGCGTAGTCTGACCTGCAGGCGTTGGATCGACTGCCATTTGGTCAAGTTCTGACATGAAATTATCGCTGTCAATCAAAATTTGATCATTTATATCATCACCGACATTTGGAAGTATATCCTTACTTCTTTCTGTGACAGACTCCACCTTACCGTTTTTTTCATTTTTTATAACAGCATCTTTGCTTTCATTCTCTACATTTACATCAGTAGATTTATCCGCTTCCGCTATAACAGTTTCTGTTGGTTGCTCTGAAATAACATCATCCACAACAGGTGTAGGTTCCTCTGCTTTCTCTTCCAATTTATCATTATCCCCTTTGGGTAATTCTATAGTTTTTGGATTATTGTCAATATTCTGTTCTGAACTAATCGGTTTTTCTTCTGACGGTAAGGTGTCGTTAATATCTTTATTTTCAGTAGAACTATTATCCTTACTGGGGACCAATTTAACTTCTTGTTCAGAATTTGTTTCACTGTTCACATTTTGTGGTGATTCGTCAATAGTTGCATTACTTGTAGCGTTTAATTCACTTTCAAAACTCGTATTTAATACAACCTTTTTTTCTTTAATAGCTAATATATTACACAGTGCAGCTAAATACTTTTTAGGAAATAAAGCGTTCATGTATGCGACGCGTTCTTCACTAAATTCAATAGTCTTTGTACTTTTAAAATCTAAACCGAAGAGTTGGCAAATTCCTGTACACTTTAAAGTCTCCCGTAGGAACACTTGGCGTACTAAACTGACTAACTTGTCCGAACTACAACTAATCAGTTCATACACTTCATTGTAAAGCGTCTCACTGCAATTATCACATACAATTATATGGCTGGGAGAACAACACCGTTTGTACATCTTGTCTGTTGATGTGTCGTTGTGTTCAGAAGACATATTTTTAGGAACTTCCGTTTTGACTAACGCTTGTGCGGCTTTCTTCATTATAGACATGACAGCGTCTCTCGCAGAGCCGAATAAATTTTTTGAAGGCTCCGTTTCCGCGGCAGGTAAGTCGGGAACGTCTATTATTTCATCGTCTTCGTCTTCATCAATGTGAGCTATATGTTGTGAACTTTCCTTCTCCAATACTTCGAATTCTGATGTGCCGTAAACTTTGAACAACGAAATAGGACAATAATGTTCGGAACCGTGATGCGATAACATTTCTACCTTGATGAATTTCCCAAACAAATGCGGGTATAAATCAAAACTTTGCACGTCTCTCATATCTTTGGCGGTAAACTGACCGACGCTGGCCCATTCCCTGGTTGGGAACCGATCGCTAAAATACACAGCGATGTCTTTGGGAGTAGAGGAGAACAACTCGAAATTAGCAATTTCTATTTTCTGAGCCTGAACAGCTTCGCAGAGCTCTACCACGAACCAAATGCGACTGTTGCACGTATTGAGCATATATTCATCTCTATTGGGAGATAAAATGGAACTGGCCGAACCAGCTTCTGGATTTACAGCTACAATTTTAGCGCCACAAACCAGCGAAGCATAATTTTTCGATCGTAATTTCGTGCTTTTACTACTAAAATTTGTATTACTATGACTAGGTTGACTCGAGTGATTGAGTACTGTGTCTTTTTTCTCAGCTTCTGCGAGCTGCTTCTGTGCCCATTCTGAGAAAGATGGGATATCTTCTTGTGGCGTCTCTGGTTTCACTGGAATGTTTTCAATGGCCTTTGGTTCATCTTGTTGAGATTCTGTTGAGCTTTCATCTGTTGACAAAGGTGTGGTAGTTTGAAATGCATCATCTGTTTGTCTCATTTCGTGCATAGATTTTGATTTGATTACAGGCCACTGCTCGGCGCCATCTTTCCCATCGTCTGTCTTGCTAATCTTTTCCTCCTCTACTGCATCCTTATCCACAATAATAAACGACTTCGTATCATTGTGTTGATCGGAATCGTTGACGAACAAAAGTTCGTCGGGATTCTTAAGTTCCAATTTGGCATTCTCTCCTAGAGAGATGAGAACGGGAGGTTGCCCGGTGTCAGGTAACCTGAAACAATTAAAATGCAAAATAAATAATAGCTTCGGATAAAAAAAAAACTTCTGATTTCTGAGTTAAATTTGTTAAAATGATGACAACTGCATACATTTACACTCTTACCCATACCTTTTATAAGTGATATAGTTACAAAATTATTCGAGTTTATTAAATTATTTGAGAAATATGTCGGAAATTACTCCTATTTATATTTTTAATGCCTTTATTATTTCGTAATGATCATACTATTTAATTGAACTATTAATTTTACATATATTTTCATTATTTCACAAGTATGAGGAAATTAACCAGTCATCACAAACGTTAGAAATACCTTCTAATTGTAACAATCTACATTAGACAGATATTTAAGAAACAACAAAAAATAAAGCCATTACAATCGGTTTTACATCGAAAACGTCAGAACCAACATTCCGTGGGATGAGAAGGATGCCGTGGACAAATTAAAATGTTTGTAATCGTGGCCAGTACTGCCTAGTCACTATCAACTATTGCGACACATCGTCGGGAAGGCCGATACCAATCAAGCATAACGCTTGTAATGAGTATAACTCGTAGATAGTAAATGAACATACCTAAAATACGTAAAAATATAATAACATAACTTGTTTTGACATAGATCCTCGTATTCTATTTGGTCGTTTTATTAGTAAAATTAATAAACAACTATAAGAAGCACAAACATCCAGATTTTCGAGCCGACAATGTGAGTATTTAGTGCCAAATGTTATAACCATTTCGATAATTGAAAGTTGATTTTGAAGACCCTAAAATGAGGGCTACGTAGAAAATCCTATCCGAACACTTTTCGGGAGTTCCAAATAAAGACGTGAAATTATTATATTATCTAATCATGTAAATAAATCTTAGACATATCTTCAAACATACCGGATAAAAATGGTAAATATGTACTTAATGAGTGCACTGTGATCATCTTAATGTATCCGAATTCTGAAATAATTACATTTTTATTGTTTAACCATGAAAGTCTACGAATGTCAATGGCCGTGTTACGTGTAAAACATATTAGATACCTATACATTCAGACGAAAAATGTTACGTCACATTTGGCACGTATGATGCTTGCGTAGGTTACAAGTATTCGAGATATGAATTTGCAGGAGAAAGATATATTAAAGATATAATGGAGGAATGGGGCGTGGAATGAAACTGACCTAAATAAGTAGCAAATGAAACTACCTACAGATACATTTGTATTAGGGCACGTATGGGAAGGAAAAAAGAAGGACGAATAAAATAAAAAAATTCATTTGTCGCTTATCTAGATTGTTCTCTAAAATATATCCAAAAAGGCAAACATTTTAAACACCATAAAACCTTATAAAGTTGTAAAGCGTATTAGTCATCCGTAACTGGTAGTACAGGCAGAAGGTCTGGGATCGTCGAAGACCAAGCCCTCTCAGGATAATGGAAAAACCAAGAGTGTCAGCGCAGCTTCTAGGCGAGAGGAGCAGTAGCTCTAAGCGCCAGATGACAAAGAGCGCCAAAAAGCCAAATACGAAAAACAATTTCCAACGCAAATAAATTTTGATAGCGCCTTTTGCGATGTCGGTATTTGCAATAAAAGTAGATTTTTTAAAGTTTGGAAATTATTATTTATTTAACATAAAACCCAAGTACAATTTGCGTGAAGTGACCAAAGGGCGCCGAAAGACAATCTTACGTTACCCTGATCAAGAGCTAGGGCCAGCGTAGAATGATACCTGCATAAAAGGATGCTTACGTGTAAAATATCTTGGTGAGTCCTTGGTGGCCACCGTACGACAGCAACTGACATATCAGCAACGCCGCCAGCAGCGCCCGCGGCGGCGACATTCTGCACACGCCGCCGCCGCATTGGCGACGCACCGATACACCTATCACGGCACAACAACGCTCGGACCACGCAAAACTCCCCTCACGTTACCTTTTCATACGCGTCGCACGTCACTGACCTTCACTTTTGACACTGTATGCGAACGCACTTTTTAGCGGGAACTCAACTGTCACAGTTTGACAGCTCGCTATTTTAAAACAATTCCAATTTCAAAATATTTGGTTTTATTTATACAACTGATATTTCTCGTAATAGAACGCTACAGCTACCTGAATAAAATTGTCTTCAATTTGCGTATATTGCGGGCGAAGTTCCAAAAACAAGATGCGCTGTGCACTGAGACGCTAACAATGATTGGTGGATGAAACTTTGGCGCCTTAGCAGCGTCACAAAAACAATGCTGGACAATGATCTCAATAGGATATTGAGTCAATTGTAGCGAGTAAATTGAACATACACTGTGATTGTGATAGAGCGAATAGTTAATTGGAGGTTCAATAAGGGTAAACGTCATTGTTCTGCATAACAGAGGGAGACAAAAGTCGTTTGCTCTGTACCATTCGTGTTTCAACCGTAAAGCTGTTGTGTTTGCATGGCTGTGTTTTGGTTTGAAGGGTGGGATATGGCGTGACTTTATAGGGTACTGAGGAATAACACCTGAGTCCTCAGGAATGGCAACGCATGGAGGTATCATGGGCGAAACAGTATACTCTGTTATGTCCATGGCACTGTTCATGTCTATAGGCGACGGTTACCACTTTCCATCAGATGGGCCGTCAGCTTGTTTGCCATTCTAAGTTGTATAAAAAATATAATATCAATAAACTCAAAAACTACTCAACTGATTTTAAAAATTCTTTCACTTATAAAAAGCTTGATTATCAGCGAGTAATATGGGCTTAATATTATTTTTGAAAATTTTATCTACTCGTGTGAATCCGGGCGCGATCACTAGTCGTTAAATATAGAAAATAATTGTCTATTGCTATACCATAGATCACCCTCGTATACTACCACAATATTAAAACTCAAACAAAAAATACCGGATTGTTGTTTTATTACACAAATAAAGCTATTAAGATTTGATATAATTTAGATTTTATTTTAATATGTTTTCGTATTTTTAATTTTAACGTATTCATAAAACATAATAATATGCCACGCGGATTTCCGCGTATTTTTTCTGTTCTATATCCAAAACAAATTTCGTATTACAAGTACGTATTGAGTTAATTTAATCTTTGGAACTAAGGGTGGGTACAATATATAGTAATATGTATATATTGTGGTTACAATATCTATACATATATTGCCCTAGTAACAGATATATTAACTATCGGTTATCCAATATACAGTATAGAAAATAACAACTCGCAATGAATATAAATATCTCAATATAATAGGTCATAATAACTCAGTATATAGATAATAGATTTTACCCGGAGACTTTATACAAAAGTCGATTGCTTGGGTACCTCTGTCCCATTCGTGTTTCTACCGTGAAGCAGTTGTGTTTGCATGACTGTGTTTCGGTTTGAAGGGTGGGAGATATGGCGTGAATTTACAGGGTACAGAGGAATAACACCTGAGTCCACAGGAATGGCAACGCATGGGGGTACCATGGGTAAAACAGTATACTCTGTTATGTCCATGGTACTGCTCATGTCTATAGGCGACGGTTACAACTTTCCATCAGGTGGGCCGTCAGCTTGTTTGCCATTCTAAGTTGTATAAAAAAACCCATTCCTATTTGTAACTACAGTTTTTATTTGATGATTTATGCCACTTAAAAATTCTATCAGAGCGACTTCAAAAAAAGCGACATTAAAAATGTGAAATCGCGTGATGTTTGTATTAAGTAAATATGCTTCCAATGTATTTTACTCTATATATTTTTTTATAATTAATCTATTTTGCAATCCACAGGATTTCCCACGTATTAGTTCCATTCTCTCAGAATTACAAATAATTGTATTTTATGCAGAGCAAAAATCTACCTGTGCAGCTCATAATTCAAAATTATCAATGAAACTTGTCTTAGGAAAATAAATTGTTCAAATAGAGACTGTGAGACAGATTAGATAGATACTGTTTTACTGTTTATTGTAGTATTATTGCTAGATCTCGTAAACTTAGTTGATAAAAATAATAACGTTAAAATGCCAATATGGCGCGTCAGTTTGAAGAGCATGCGTAACGGAACGCGCTGACGTTTACACGCGTCGTACTTTTTTTTTGATGGATGATAATGGAATGGTAACCGCCCACGCTATCGGTATACACTGGCGGGGCACCAGTGAGGGGTGATAGGTGAGGATGAATAGGCAGGTCAGTAAGCCCATCGTGACGAATTCAATGTTAAATTGGTCATGATGGTTTCTAGGAGGAACCGCGTGGAGGTCGACCTGATAATGTAAATTGATAGCGATGGGGACTAACCTCCTCATTACTGGGGGAAAGGGATTATTGGCAATGGAGTTTGATAGCCCCATTACTAGCAATATGCCTTATTAGGTCGACCTCCACATGGTTCCCCCTGGAAACCATCGTGAACAATTCTTGTCGAATTCGTCACGATGGGCTAACTGACCTACTCCATCCTCACCTATCATCCTTCACTGGTGCCCCGCCGGTGTATACCGATAGCGCGGGTGGGGTTACCATTCCATTATCATCCATTAAAAAAACCTCCTCATTACTAGCAATCCCTTCCCCCCACGCGTCATACTTTACGATGATTGTTAAAAATAATCAACTGTAGTCTTACATATATATTTATAAACAATTGATAATGTTATTATTTATTTATTTATTTACACTTTATTGCACCAAGTAAAAAGAGAAATAACAAATACAGTAAATATTAATGAGAAGTGATACAAAAGGCGGCCTTATCGCTAAGCAATCTCTTCCAGACAACCTTTGGGTAGAGGACATTGAGAAAAAGACAAAGAGTAGGTGGCGCACTATTATATAAATATTATCATATACAAACATATATAGATACATACATACATATATACACATACATATATAATATATACACATTTAAATATATACATAACTGTTCGCGACATTATTTGTATATATGTAATCGTAATTTATAGTTGTTAAGTCCCTAGTTAATCGTTTCTGTATTCTGTTATTTTATATAGATTTTACATAGATTTAAGATAGTGTAAGTTAAATAAAGTATTTCTTTGTGTGTTGTCATTATTACCTACGAATAGAAATAGAAATTGTAACAATAAATAGAATTAAGAAATTGTAAATTGCAATAAATAGACGCTATAGAGTACCGATCTGAAGAGACACGCGTCTCGTTCTTTCTCGCCCCGTCCCGCTCGCGCAGATTCGCTAACGCGAGTTGGAAACGTTATCATGCGAGCGGGCGGGTATAAAGATAGGCCGCCTCTCGTCGAGCGGCATTCGCTTCCGGGCAGCGACACACTACACTTGAGAAGAAATAGGACAAGAAGAAAAAATACTCTCTTCAGACGGTACCGGAGGCTTCAGAATAGTAATCCCTGTGTTTCACTCCAGCCTGAACCAACGCCCCTACAGTCCACGCTCACCGAACGGCAGTCCACACCGTTCATCGTGGTCCTTCGAGAAGCCGGATTGCTGGAGGAACACCGTTGGTACATCGAGAAGCCGGATCGCTGGAGGAAGACCATTCTGAAGCCGGATCGCTGAAATGCCGACTACGAGAAACATGAAGTCGTCGCAACAAAAAGTCGCCGTCACCGAAGCCACAACGTCCGCCGCCACGTCGACTACGGCCGCCGGAACGCTGTCCGTCGCTGCCACGCCGTCCGTTGCTGCCACCACGTCGTCTGCGGCTGTCAGAATGCCTTCTGTCGCTGCCACGTCGTCTACCGCCGCCACCACATCGACTGCGAACACGTCCGGCGATACGACGACCACAGGAGCCACGGAGACTACCGAAGCCACAGGAACGACAGAGGAGACAGCAAGGAAGAAGGAACCGAAGCACGGCACGGCACGCACGGTTCGCACCACGGCCTCGCAGAAGAAGAAGGCTCTGGCCAAGGCACGGGAGGAGCTACTTCGAAAGGAGGTGGAATTGGCTGCTGCACGTGTCGCCGCCCTGGAAGCCGAATCAGAGGACGACGAGGAAATAGAAGACGACGACGCTACCGTCAGAAGAGAACGAACGTCGGATTGGGTTCATCGAAGCACGCTAGCACTCACGATGGAGCCGCATGTACCAGAGATAGAAGAAGTCACCGGCAAGCGTCAGGGGTTCGTCCCATCGAGACCCGTTGAAGAGGATTCGAGAGCGCCGCCGCCACAGCCGAGCAGCGACGCACTTCACCGGGACCACGCACGCCACGTTGACCCACATGCCGCCATTCCTACGATAGCAGCAGCGATGCAGTCGATGAAGAAAGAAGAACCGGTGCTGAAGGTGGGCATCGATTGTAATGAGTTTGCGATCGCCATGCAGATGGCCGCTCGCAACATACTGCCCTCCACAGCGTCAAGAGTCACCGAGTTGCCAGTCTTCAATGGATCGTCGAGCGAGTGGTTACCATGGAAGATGGCCTATGAAGAGAGCGCAAGTCAACTCACAGAACAAGAGAACCTAGCAAGACTGCGCAGAAGCTTGAAGGGGGCCGCAAAGGACGCGGCACGCTCCCTATTCGTCGGGTCTACGACCGCAGAAGAAGTAATGAAGATGTTAGCCGCGAGGTTCGGCCGCCCTGGAGCACTCGTCACAGCCGAACTGAACAAACTCCGCGCGCTACCACGACTCTCGGACAACGCAAGAGACGTCTGCCTCTTCGCAAGCAAGGTGCAGAACGTCGTCGCCACGATACGAGCGCTGAACAAGAGTCACTACCTCTACAATGAAGAAATAGTGAGAAACGTCACAGAGAAGATGCCGTCGGTACTACGCTTCAAGTACTACGATTTCGCCAACGACCAACCGGAGGGACAACCGGACCTCATAACACTCTCTCAGTTCCTGCAAAGGACCGCCGCACGATGTGGAAACTTCGCCCCCGCCGAGGAGATACCGTCCGAAGACCGGCGGGAGTCCGCTCCTAGGAAGACGGCGAAGACATACACGACGCAGGAGAAACCCGCTACACCACCGTGCCCGATGTGTCGACGAGAGGGACACGCTCCATCGGACTGCAAGACGATGAAGGAAGCGGACACATCGGCGAGATGGGAGCTAGCGAAGACTCATAGGCTGTGTTTCCGTTGCCTCAAAGTGAGAAGATTTCGCCACGCCTGC